ATAAAATATTTACTGTTTATTTGATCAAATCCTGCCTGTGACTCCAAATTATTAAGTTTTCCCTCACACAAGTCCCCCACAAGATAATCTGGGGTAGTTTGTAGGAATTCGTGGAATTGGTCTTCTGTGAGGGGGGTGCACTATATTTAGGCGAGGGCAGGCCCAACGGCGCCAGGGGGGAAAATGCCGTTGCGCCGTCGTAGGGGCCAGACAGGATGCTGGGATGGCTGATAGAGGACACCCTGATGGAGAGGTGGACTATAAATTGTGGTGGCCCAAATCTTCATTTCCTTATGAATTTCTGCACAGACTGGCAATTGTTGGCATACCTTGTCTCTCAAAACTATGTTTACTGGAATTTGAGGCGGGAGGGAATCTTCTATTACACATAAAAGGATGGACTAATTAGCGAGGACATTTCCTCTGTGGTAGCTTTGTATACTGGAAAAGCAAAAACAACTATGTGAAGCTCTCACAGAAAAGTTCACTTTAGGTTAAACTCCATTCTTGGAATACTTCACCTTCTTTTTTAATGTGCCAGGTGCAACAGATGTTGGCAGGTTTTCTCAAAGGCACCTTCCACTTGACATGGGTCACCTATAAAGAGAACAAGTAGACCTAGGAAAGGCCTTTGCTCAGATGCCACCTGGACCCAGAGGAGAGAAACTGCATTGTCATTTTGAACCATGGACTGATGCATTTCCAGATCACTGGGACAGAGATCAAGAGGGCGTTAGCAATCAGAATTACTTATCTGCTTTAACCTGACTATCCTAATTTATTGTACTGTTGAAACTTGTTATTATTACCATATCCTCTCAAGATCTTTAACTTTTATATTCTGTTTTATTTTCCTTATATGCAACAAAATGATTTTGTAAGCGACTTTGTATATTTTGGATTGATAGAAAGTCATTGCAAATTTAATTCAAAATAGGGGGAGGGGAAGAAATGAGCAACAAGCACATGCCATGCCAAATAATTACCGTATTTTTCGCTCTATAGGATGCACCCGACCATAGGACGCACCTTGTTTTAGAGGGGGAGAACAAGAAAAAAAAATCTCTCCCTCTCTGCTCAGCGCCCCTTCAGCTAAGTGGCAGGAGAAACGAAGCCCCTTCCATTTCTCCTCTCGCTTCGCTGAAGGGGCGCTGCGCAGCTCTCCCTCTCTGCTGAAGTTTTGCTCTCCCGGCTTCAGCAAAAGGAACCCGAAGCCCTCGGAGTGCAGCGTGAGTTCCTGCTGTGCTCCAAAGGCTTCAGGCGACTATCCCTGAAGCCTGGAGAGCAAGAGGGGTTGGTGCGCACTGACCCCTCTTGCTCTCCAGGCTTCAGCGAAAACAACGTGAAGCCTCTGGAGCGTGGAGGGAGCGCTCCCTCTGCACTTCAGAGGCTTTGTGTTGCTATCGCTGAAGCCAAGGAGCCTGCATTCGCTCCATAGGATGCACACACATTTCCCCTTAATTTTTGGAGGGGAAAATGTGCGTCTTATAGAGCGAAAAATATGGTAACCCGTAAGAAAGGTTGCAAAGCCATACTCTAACCCAATCTCACTTATGTCCAAGAAGTTCCAAACATGGGCTTGTCGTCATCAAAACTGTATTTCAGAAAGTATACCAACAGTTCTCTATTGTTAAATCTGTAAAATAACTAAAAATGTGATAAAATGGTAAGACAAATAAAATGATAAGACTTTTAAGACAAATCAGTTTTTATTAGACGTGGGATCCACGGACCAATTCATATCACAATTTGAGCGTGTTCATCTTTTATGTTGTGGCCAATTCAAACTTTTCAATATCCCTTCTTGAAAAGAAAGCACTTACAAGTGTAGAAATTGCGATGTAACACACAACACAAGAGCAGATTGTGTGAATGTTGCTGTATGGGCACAAAGTATAGAATGGATGGCAAATCTGTGGCTCTCCAGGTCTTATCAGGCTACAACTCCCACCATCCCTGGCCACGGGCTTGCTAGTCAGGGCTTGTGAAGCTCTACACAATATACCCCTTTTTTCATTTTTAAAAAATTTAATAATTTTTTAAATGAAAAAAGATGAGGAAATCAAAGTGCATTTCACCTAGATTGCCACAAGGTGCCACCACATCTTTTTAGATCCTGGAGCTGTGCAATTTCAGGCAACCTCAAAGCCAGGGGTCAGCAACCTTTTTCAGCCGTGGGGCGGTCCACTGTCCCTCAGACCATGTGGTTGGCTGGACAATATTTTTTTTTTTTTGGGGGGGGGAAACGAACCAATTTCTATGCCCCACAAATAACCCAGAGATGCATTTTAAATAAAAGGACACATTCTAATCATGTAAAAACACGCTGATTCCTGAACTGTCCATGGGCCGGATTGAGAAGGCGATTGGGCCGTATTTGGCCCACGGACCTTAGGTTGTCTATCCCTGCTCAAAGCAGACCAAAAACTAGGATGAAAAATAAAGGACAAAACTAGGCATGGTATAGCTGCATGAGTGCCCATTCTCCATCTCTTTCCTTTCTTTTTCCAAACAGGCATGGGGGGGGCAATCACAACCAGGATAGTGAAGGGAAAGAAAGGGGGGTCCTACTCTGAGTAAAGCTCCTGATAAAATTCCTCCCCCACCAGTTGCTTAAAGCAGTGTTTCCCAACCGGTGTTCCGCGGCACACTAGTGTGCCGCGAGACGTTGCCTGGTGTGCCGCGGGAAAAATTAAAAAATTCGAAAGATATCTGGAGAGGCGGCCTTCAGGCGAGTTTTAATTTTAATTTTCCTTCTCCCACTTAATGCCCCACGCTCGCCCGAGCAGCTTGCAGTCCTCGGTAACCACGGCGACCCGAGGGAGGGGAGGGAACAGGGAAGTCGAGGGCGGCGGCGAGCCGCGATGACGTCAGTGGGCCGCGCCGCCTCGCCCTGGCACGGTGTGAGAGCCCCGGCTAGTGGCGCGAGCTTCAGAATAAGTGGGATCCGCGTGCGCGAGACCGAGATCGCGGGTAAGGAGCTCAGCCCTGGGCAGGAGGAAGCGGGGCCGCGCGTGCGGGCCACATCCCCACAGAGAGCGAGCCTCCCCCGGCCCACCACTCCGGGCAGGTCCACTCGCATGAGGGGGCGGCGATGGCGACGGCCGGCAGCTTGCCTGCAATGCCATCCCTCGAGCAGGCGAGGAGCCCGGAGGCTACCAGATGCGAGTCCTCTTTCCCACCCTGCTCGGGAGTCCAGAGCACTTGGTCGCATTCAGGATCTAGAGTGGGGAAGCGGGGCTTGTGTCTGGGCTGGACACATTGGGCTGCCTGTGCCGCTCGACCTGCGGGGAGAAATCAGGGTGGGAGTCACGACCGTGAGGCAGGGCTGCCAAGTGTGGCAGAAGAGGACACGGCCGTCGCACCTGTCCTTAGGTAGGAGCTTCTTCCGTGTCGACCTGCTGCCCTAAAGTCTTGGCTTTTTTCTTGGCTTTTTGGCGGTTGGCACAGAAGGAAGGCAAGGGGGAGGGGAAAAAATTGAAACTTACACTTTCGTGCGTCCCTCCCGGCGTGACGCTGCGCGCTGACGTCACGGGGCTGTAATGGTGGTGTGCCTCGAGATTTTTTTCATGAAACAAGTGTGCCTTTGCCCAAAAAAGGTTGGGAAACACTGGCTTAAAGGGAGAGTGTGCAACCCTGTTCAAAACAGGCTGCATACCTCATCCCGGACCAGCTGACACCCCCCCCCCCGACCAACACTATGACCTTTCCGCATGCCCAGGCCTTTTCATGCTGTATTTTTAATTGTGACATTCTCAGGCTTGTGGGTTTGAGCCCCACGTTGGGCAAAAGATTCCTGCACTGCAGGGGGTTGGACTAGATGGCCCTTAGGGGTCCCTTCCAACTCTGTAATTCTGATTCTATGTTTTGTCTTGTGCTGGATGTTGTGAACATGCCCAGTCATTCAGATCAGCCTCAGAGGCCCTGCGCTCAGTGTCCCCCGTCTACTGAAGGAAGGCAGATGGAGACTGGAAATAGGGCTCTCTCTATAGTAGCTCCTCTTCATTGAATACCTTTCCTGATGCTAGCATTTTGACAGAACCAGCTGATCTTCTTTCTTGCCCAGGGCTTCCCCTGCTTCCCATGCTTTTCCTATGCTGAGTTTTAACAACTCCTTAGATCTTGAGGTCTTGTACTCTGCTTTCACTGGCAGCTATTGATTATATTGGTTTTATGCCAAACGCTCTTGCAGCCATAACAAAATATCGTCACCCACATTCTTTCCACTTGGGTTTGTATCATCCATAGGCTCCCTGGGGCCTAATGAAAATTACAGCATACATGTAATGTGACTAAGCCCACATTTCCAAGTAACCACACCCAGTGTGGTTTAATGTACATATTAAAACAGTATGGGAGACAAAGTGGATCATTTTGGCACCTCATAAGCTGCTGGCTGCAGGACAAAACAGCAGTCTCTTAGCAAGCAGTGCCTTCTGAGCGCTGGCCCCCAAGAAAGATGAGAATCACCTAAATAAATCCAGCCCCATACTAGCAGTGCACTGCAGGACACCATGAATAGCTGAAGGATGCTGAGAGGGTCCAGGACCTGTCCATCTTTCAACATAGGTTGCCAAGGTGACTTGAGACTGAAACCACGTGGGAAGCTGAACTGAACTTCCTCCAGGAAAACATGGAACTGCTTTGCCATAAACTACCATGAATCCATCTTGAGCAGGGCTGAGCCAAGATATTTTGGCACCCAAGGCAAACGCCCTCATGGCGGGGTCTAACAGAATTTGAGTTGTGCACCAACTCCATTGAAAACCCAGATCTGCTGCTTTGAATGATGCACAAAACCTGCCACTTTCTCTCATGGGCCCTGTAATCCCGAGGTCATAAAAGTGCAAGCCTTCATCAGTGGTTTGTTCGCCAACTCAACATTTCAATTTCTAGACTGGATGAGCAGCTAAAGTTTCCTTCTGAGATTTCTTAGGACATTTCCATTCACCCCAACTCACATGGCTCCATCTTTCATCAGTGCAGACACAGGCTGAGTCCAAAGTGTTTAAAGTTAAAGTTTATTTTGTAATTCTTTGTAGGAATATCAATAAAAGACCTCAAATGTATCTATATCTGTACATATACAAGAAACTGTTCAAAAATATTCACAGAACAAAAATAAATCTTCTTTAGAACAAACCCAGACAATGAAATGCAGAAGTGGTCCAGCATTACTGGCATAAAAATACAGGCTTAGAGAGGGGAACGGGGAAAGAAGGTATTGTGTGTTAAGGGGAAACCATATCAAAATAAATTATTCAAAGCTAACATTGCAAACGAAACAAAACGAAACAAAGGGGAGGAAACAGTCCTGTAAGATGACCTTGTTAAGGCCCAGGAGGCAGCAGAAAGATTGTGAAAGGACTTCTGGAAGAAGGTCACACCAAAACATGCTGTCTCCTCTCTTTCCTCCCAGCTCTTTGGTGATCTTAGTTATTGGAAGGATAGAGATTTTCTCTGTACCAAGATCAGAATGGTTTGGGGAAGGGGCTTGACCAAGATTAGCACAAAGCTGCCTCAATTGTCCCCAAGCCACTGGCGGACGAAGGTGGGGGCGGGGGGGGGGCGGCCTGCCCTGGGTGCCATCCTGGGGTGTGTGACATCATGGCTGCCCCTGCCCGTGCCTGCTCATCGCTTGCTGCGCACCTTCGAGATGTTTGGCACTCATTGGCCACACCCTATAATGTGCGCCGCTTGCTGTGCACCCCCCCGACGTGGGCAGCGCGCCACGCCCCCGGGACGCGCACCAGCCATGCCCCCGGATGTATGCCGCTCCCCAAGCAGGTAGCTCCGCCACTGCTGCCTGCCTCGGAGAAGAGGTGGGATCGGCTGCACAGCTTCCTTTGACGGGGGGAGGGAGGGAGGTGGGATGGCAATCCCCCCTTCCCCCCGTCAAAGGGAACTGTGCAGCCAATGCAGATCCCGCCTCCCCCCCATCAAAGGGAGCCACAGGCAGCGCAGTTGGTGATGGCTGCCCTTAGGAGCTCCGTGCTGCCGTGGCTCCCACCATCTCACCTTGCCAAAGGCCCCTTCCCAAAGACATTCTGACCTTGGTACAGAGAAATCTCTCTTCTTCATCCCCAAAGAGAAGGCAGAAGAGAAGAGCAGGGAGGAAAGAGAGGAGAGAGCCTGTTTTGGTGTGACCTTCTTCCCCAAGCTCTAGTCGTGCAGTATTTCTGCTGCCTCCTGGGCAGGCAGGCAGGCAGGCAGTCTTGGGGAACGTTGAGGCTGTGGTGTGGACAGGCTTGGAGTGGGTGGGAGAAATGAGGAGCTGGCAACTGGCAGGTGGGAGAAGTTGCAGTTAGCAGCTGCTGTTTTTGAATTCACCGTTCTCCGTGATGGAAAGCCTGGTGGGGTTGGTGGGGGAGATGCCGTTCCGAGCCTGCATGCTGTAGTGTTCCTTCACTTGCGTTAGGGCACTCATGAGCCGCGTGTTGGCTGAGTCCAGAGACAGGATTCTTTTTTCCTGCAACAAAACACACTGATTCAGATCAGAACTGCCTTAATGACTTCACAACCTGCAACATCTGGGTCTCAAGGTGAGCAGCAGTTCTCTAAAGGAGGGCTGTTGCTTTTTCGCCATAGGCTGATCCAGCCTGGCCCTGCAGCAGAACAGAACGAGCCTGCCTCTTTCTGCTGCCCAGCATCTGTCCTGTGGAAGCTGCCAATTAGCCACGTTTAAAAGCTGATTGAGCGGTGGATCATGTAAGATCACAGAGGCAGAAGTCAGCAGGGAGATTCCTGGAGATTTAATGGGTTAGTTTTTGAACAGAGGAAAACAGAAAAAGGCAGCAGGAGGATATGAGGAAGAGGATTCTAGAGTGGAGGTGGAGTATGGATTGGGACCCTCCAGAGACACCCTCCCACTGAGAGAGGGCTTGCAATACACCCCAGGGACACTGAAAATTATAAATGCAGATAGATGCCAGCAGTGTGAGGGTGCAGCAGCAACACAGGAGCGGGGAGGGGGGCAGAAAGCAGCCCAAAGCTGGAGGGAAGGAAGTATGCATGACAGGAAGGGGCAAGGGGGAAGAGGGAGAAGGAGGGAGGTTTGTGCGAAGGGTGGCAGTGATGGTAGGGTGATGGGGAAGATGGCACTGATAGGACACAAAAACCAAACAGGGCGCCTGGCTTCTTAGACCCATTCCAGCTCAGTTACTCCAGGACTCTGCAGAATCAAAAAGCCCTCTCTGGATTTGATTCAGAAACTAGGGGCTTTTGCGTTAAAGAGACAAGAGAAGGCCGGGGACATGATTGGCGGACATGTAAATCTCTGGTACTATGTGGCAGGGCAGAACCAAATCAAAGAGGCACAAGGACTTGCTTTGGTTTAACCTTAACTTCCAACAAAATCTGGCAATCGTGTCAGGCTGGCCGGCCTTTGAGTGGAAAAACCACGAGATGTGCTTGGGCATTCCTGTTGAAACAGGAACTGATGCAACATGCAAGGGCTCTGTAGGGCTCCACACAAATGAGGGAAGGCAGAACAATGTACAGAGGGCACAAACATGAAGGAATGAACACGTCACTTCCCTCTGGAGACAAAAGGCAGGAGACACACTGAGTGCTGCAGTTGCTGCACAAACTCTGCTGGTGGGGTGGGGCACAAGCCCTATGGCAATGGAGAGAGGGGGCACAGCAGGAGTGGCAAGGTCACTTCCAAAAGCACTACCTTAGCCAAAGGGGTGGGTTTTCCAGCACTTCCTCCCAGATGGGGCTGCTCTGTGTAATCTGAGGCCTGAAATTCTGAGAAAAGTAGCCTGCGCTGGAGGTATGCATCTGGCCTTCAGGAGAAGCAACTCACGGTTACCAACATTCATGCAAGAGCTTCCATATTGCTTGCTAAATTCAGAACCCTTCGTGGGCTGGGTAGTTTGGGCTGCTGGGAGCCTTTCACTCATTTACTTCCCCATCATGTCCAAAACAGCTCTCGGTCATGGGAAAGTACTGCAATCCATAAGGAGTACGTGCAGCACACATAAGAGATGCATTTGCGAAGACAGTGTCCCACTTTTAAAGGCACTACTGCACAGAGGTAAATCTTTTAGAGGGAGCAATCTGTCCATACATAGAGGAAGCCTGCCTAACATCAGCTCTCTTCCTGACTGAGGTCCTTCTCCCTGCCAAAATCCATCAGTTCGTTTTCGTTAAAAGGAATAACTCCAAAATATCTATCACAAAACAGTACTTTGAAAGGTGCCAAGCCAAAGTCTCTGACACCAAATGAGAATGCCCAGCACTAGAGATGCTAGAATTTCAGAATCCGGGTTCCACCAACTGGATTCGGGGAGGGGGGGGTCTGATTATGTTAAGCCACATTTTGGTGTCCGGCTCAAAAAGCCCTAAACATGTGCACAAAGGGCCTATGGGAATCAATCTGGGGGAAACAACTTCCAGTTGCCTCATGACCATCCTTATAATTAATCTAGTTAATTTTTCTGAATCAGTTTTAAATTATATTAAGAGGAGCTCCCTGCATATAACACACCATACTTCCATTGTTGACTCAGAAAGAATGACTACAAAATTGCAGATGAAAAGTTCTCACTGCTGCTGGAATAATCCAGCAAGATCTCTTATTTAAGGTTGACCCTGCTTCCGCTGGCATATGAACATGGGTGCATTTGTCCCTTCTGTGGCGATTCAAATTCAAAAACAAAGGCATGATCTTGGGAGTTCAAGGAGAGGGGGCGCTGACGACACCCCCGCCGTCAAAAAGCAAGCATGGGGCAATCCAAGCTTATTCCAAACTGTCTCTGGATGAGGCGCAGGGAGTGGCAGGAGCTGGAATGTGTAGGGGGAGGTGAGTGCGCCAGGCCAGGGCAGGGTGGTGCTCAGCTAGAGAACTGATTGGGTGTACTTGCCTGCTTGAATTATCTCATCCCCATTTAAGACCTGTAATTTAACACAGCAGTGATGTCACTTGCAATCACAAATGGAAGCTCAGTGCACAGTGAAGCTCTGCGAGTTCATGGAGGTGCGCGGGGGGGGGGGGGTTAGGAGTGACATCCAGGGTCCCCCTTCCCCATCCAGCAAAAAGAGATTGACTAAAGAAACAAGAAGTGCCAGGGGGGTGAAATTTGGGGCAAATCATCCTAAAAGCTGATGCTACGAGGATGAGGGCTCCTTGCTTCAGAGCACATGGGAGGGAGAGTAAACCAATGGCCACATGCACTTCAGCAAACCAGCAGCGACCTAGTTCAGGGCTTTTGTTTCCCACCCCTCTTGCAATGGCCTCTCATATAGTCATGGTGGCTCCAGCCAGGTTCTTGGTTGCTGCGGGAAACTGAGGCAGCTCTGAGGCATTCCTATACCCCTCAGCCATCTTCTGGAGAATAACCCATGAAATGATTAAGTACTGGGGAGTTGTGTCCAGAGCTTTAACCAATAGCATGTTTCTGTCACAAATCATTTGGGAGTGGTGCCCTCCACATAGAAACAGACCTCATTCAGCCCAAAACACTCTGTTTGAGTCCTCAAGTAGACAAGTGGCTCTGATCGAGCTGCCGTGTAATTAACTCAGTCTTGCAAACAAGTACTTGGAAACTACTAGCCCTTCTGCCTGTACAGATTGTGGCCCAAGAGCAAAAACAAAAAACACAAATCCTTGTTTCTGGAAAAGTTCCCTGGAGAAGATTTACACTCATGACAGGAGATCAGGCAATACAGTCATACCTCGGGTTGAATACACTTCGAGTTGAGTGCGTTCGAGTTGCGCTTCTCGGCAACCTGGAAGTAACGGAGCGCATTACTTCCGGGTTTCGCCACTTGCGCATGTGCAGACGCTCAAAATGACGTCACGTTCATGCGCTGACGTGCCGTCGCTACTTACGTTTACTTCTAGATGTGAACGGGGCTCTGGAATGGATCCCGTTCGTATCTAGAGGTACCACTGTAACTTGTTCAAAAGCGTAAGTTATAGCAAGGCATTTCTGCTTAGATCTGAACTGAGAAATCATCATGGAGCAGCTGGGAAAAGTAGCCAATAGGCAAGCTGCATACTCGAGGGCAGGTGCAAAGGGGGTTGGTTAGCCCTTCGCAGTCTCGGCTTGACCAGAGTTTGTATTTGTAAACTTTTATTTGTAAACTATTTTGCCGTATTAACAGTCTTTTATTTGTAAACTATTTACAAAGTACAGAGCACCCCTTCAAGCATCCGATTCGTCTGCAACAGATCCCAGGCAATCCCAGACATCGGTGCTGTTCTCTACGCTTTAACCCTCTCCTGTCCTGGGTGGATAGAACTGGTGCCCCCTCTCCCTCTGTGCCGGAGCTGGTGGAGTGGTGCTGGTGCTCTCTAACATCAGGAAGCTGTGCCTCCGCCTCCCCTTGCTCTCCACCTCCTTCCAAGGCTGCCTCTTCTACCGGCCCCTCTCTCTCCTCCCCCTCCTCCAACTCCAGAGCTGTCCCAGCTGGCTCCGTGACAGAAGGGGTGGGGAACCTTAGGCCTGGGGGGCCAAATGTGGCCTTTGGACTCTCTAAACCACACCCTTCTCCAGGCCACCAACATCTACCTTGAATGCTTCTGCGCACTACGGCCTTTTCATGCTGGGTAAAGCAGAGGTCTATGGCTGATGATGAAAGACACAAAGACAAAGATTATCCAGCAATGATAAATACTATATGGGGAAATAACTTTGTGCTCCGAGGACAAGGGGGATTCCACACAAGCACAGCACACAAGAAGAGATCAAAGTGATTTCTCTTCCTGTGTGGCTTAATCCTCTTTTCTCTTTGCTGAGCAGAGAGCCAACAGAAGCCCAGGAAAAACTCCCAAACTCACTCCAGGAAAAGCAAGACAGGCGAAAATACATGCGCCCACATGCAGCTCCATTTCTCCCAACGCCAACCAAGGCAGGTGCCAAAGGAGGGCGTTTCACAACAGGTACCATTCCAAGCTACAGTCACCCAAGGTCACAAGCCAAAGCTTTGTCTGCGTCTCCAAGAGCACTCAAGAGCAGTCGCTCGGCCCTCGGCTGTGACCTAATGATGCTTTGAGTGTCAGGAGGGTACATGCTTTGATCCTACATCATCCAGGGAGCCTGTTCTGTACAAGGGAATAGTCCTTGCCTGCCCCACTGAGATGCTGCCATGGGCATTTTCCAGAAGTTGCTTCAGTGCATCAGTCACTGGTCACAGGAAGTGGAATAGTGGGAGCAATGCCTATAAGCAAGGATACTTCAAGACTTACCTGTGCGTCAATTATTTTCTGCTTAGTGTCAATAACCGCCTGCATCTCGGCATGGTCCTTCTTCAATTCCTCCTCAACAGCCATCAACCTACGGTAGAGGCAAATGATATAAGAAAGGGATCTGGCTGTGCCTTTGGGGCATTACAGAAAAACAACTCTCAACCCAGCAACTGACTTAAAAGACAAAAAACCCAACACATTGTGTTGGCTTCAAGTCTTTTGAGGAGCTATTTGAAGGAAAGAGGAAGGTCTGAACTCAAAGGCAACACCCTCACACACAGACATGTGAGAAGATGAGCTGGCACTTGAACTCAGGTCCCCCTGTCTGCTTTATGCAGTGGGCTCTAGCTAAAGAACACAGTAGATGATGGAGAATTGACTTCCTGGCTCACCCCCCCCCCCAATCTGCTGCAGGTTCTTTGCACGATCCTTAGCTGAGTGATTCATCTCCCTTATGTCTCTGGTTCCTATGTGCTAAATAAAGGTCATTTCCTCTTCTGCAAGCCACTGTTACATTTCACAAGGGAGCTGCCCACATGTGAAGATGGAAAGCTCAGATTGCACTTCAGAGCAGTCTTTTTGCTCCTTCCTTCCAACTTTCCAGCCTCTCCCACTCATGACAAGACCCTTTCACCTTACCTGCTAATGATGCTCTTCATCTGACTATCCTTCTCCTCCTGCTGCCTTCGCAACCTCTCCTCACTGTCTTCCAACCTGGCCTTATATTCCATCAGCAACTTCTGCATTTGTTGCTCCTGAACCAGGAGCCGCTGCTCGTACTCCTCCAGCCGCTGGCTCGACACCTTCAGGCGATCTTTGAGTTTGGTTATCTCCTGTTCATACTGCAGGTTGGGGGCAAGGATGGACACTGTTCAGTTAAAGCATTTATTAGCTCCCTTTCCAGTATTCAAGGTGGTGTTAAAGTAAAGTAAAAACAGCAAGAAATCTGCAAAAAGGACCAAAAACAAAACCCACAGCAACCCTCAAATAAACGCCAGAAGAGACCAGCTATAGAGCTGAGTCAAAGGCCAAACGGAAGAGATATATTTTGCAGGGCTGACAGAGGGGAAATGGTGGACACCAGGGGGAATTTCTTCCCAGAGCTCCTGTGACATTTCTCACTCTGCATGGGTGGTGGTACTTGAAGCAGGGCCTGAGAAGATGATGCGGGAGATGCTCTTTGAGATAAATAGGACCCAGGCTGTTTGCATACAGGCAAACCACAGTGCCCTGAACTGGACTGCACTGGAAACATCTTGACAGCCAGTGCAGGTGCAACAAAACCAGCTGGATGCGTTTGCAATGCCTCATATCATAAGGAGATGTATAGCAATATACTGCACTAGCTGAAACTTCCAAGTTGACTTCAAGGGCAGCCCTATGCAGAGCATAATATAGTAGTCAAGCCCGGAGGTTCCAAAATTATCGTTCTGTAAATAGTGGCATTGCTAGGTATTTGAAGGTCTGAGAGAACATGTTCATGTCACCAATTTGTGTATGTATAGATGGGAAATTAAGGCGATGGTTTTAGTGCACACTGTAAAAAAACCACCAGTAACTGAAAAACAGAGGAAGGAGCCCTTAAGTCCCCTGGGCAATTCCCCAATAATGCCCTTGCTCTGCCCAAGACTTGAAGAGATCCTGTTCACCTGTCTGGATTCAGCCTCTATTGGCTACCCCACATCTGCCTGACTTCAGTTTCCAGAAACTGATATTATATAACAACAACAGCATCTGGTTATTTAATAACTGAAATACAGAGCTGGGTGTCGTCAGCACTTGGGAATTTCAGGTGTTTCCCTCTTCTTGCAGACCCGTTTGGGACCCAGAGCTGGCATGCAGCCACTACCTTTTCTGCGTGCTTTGCTTCATCTTGGTTTTGATCGGCATCTTCCTCCTCCTCTTCATACTGCCCATTGTTGAGGACCCAGGCAGCTGTCCTTTCCACAGGCGACATTGTGGCAGAGTCTACAGGTGAATGAATCTGCAAGCAGAGCATGGGAGTGTGAGAGGCTCCCTATCTCACTGTTTGCCAGAAGGAGAGCTATCCTAGACACAGGTTACACTCAATGACACCTGGAGCCAAGACACACTTTGGCAGCGGCATGAGAGAGCCTGTTTTCCAGAGTGTGCTTGTGCCCCACTCCAGTAATGTGCATGAAGGAATCACATTAACAGAGCCCATGCTGTTTACCCTCCCATGTGAAGGGAGTAAAGGAAAGTATTTTTATTAATTCCATAGACAGATGCATGCAACATTATCAGTTAATAATGTTTTTGCTATAATCTGAAATCCAACACTGTGGGGTGGGTTTTGTAGTGCTGCTTCCATTTTAGTATATCACAATGTGGAGGAGTTCAACTCTACGATTCAACATCTGTTCAGGCTGGACCTGGCCAGGCTTGGGGCTTCTTGCTCAAGGTCTCTAGTTTTCATTGGACTTCACTTAAACCTGGTTTGCAGTGACAGTCTCCCGGCCTCTCCTTCAATCCAGGCAAATCACAATTTATAGCAATTTTAGCTTATCAGAAAAGAAGAATTTTGGACGGCCTGATTGCCGGAAGACAGACTGTGGTATAAATAGGATCCACATATTCAATCACAGTGAAGCACCCTGCTCAGAAGATGCTCTGGGGTCTGTCAGCTGCTGACAAGACATATCACACTCTGCTTCAGGAAAGTATGGAACAGGAGCAAAATACAAAGCAATCAAGAAAAGATGGTCATTTTTCTGTGAAAGACAAGATGCAGATGGCAAAAAGCTCTTTCTTAACACCACAGCTGACTGCTTTAACTGCAACCCTACACCAAGCAGGCGCTACCGTTTGAGACTGTGCTCCGCTGTCCTGCAGGGAGCATTGTACAAGGAAGAGAGACTGTGCAACATGAGCCCCCTTGCTGTCCAGGAAAAAGAATGACTGCTGCAGTTAATATGCCTTGCTTAGAAAAGCCGCTAGGAATTTTTTTTATCATGGAAGATCATTGGCCATCCTTCCAAGGAAGATGAGAGTGCAGAAGGGAACAGATTAGACTGCATTAGTTAGGCTTATGCAACCGCAGCCATCCCATTTATGATTAAGACAACAGCTGTGACGTTTTTAGAATAGCTGGCACTCTTCCCACCTTTGGTATGAATCTACTTTCCCCCTTTCTTAGATGAGCTCTGGAAAACCAGTTCAGAATTTCCCCCCCCAATGTGGCTGTTTGCAGAAAGGAAAAGCTGGCGGTAGAGGATGTCAGTTGGCTAGCGCGTGTGACGCCAACCTCCCTCCATGCATTCTGCAATCTCTGCAGCAGTTTTGCATGGTTTTGAAAATTGTTTACACCTTTCAAAAAATAATCTGAAACCTGAACGTTTAAAATAAATGTACATGTGCTGATTTAACATGGCCAGGTAATCTACATTAAGACACTTTTATGAAGGCAGAGGGAGGAGCTACACTACAATGAAGGGCTGATCAAGTATTAAATAGTATTTGATTTTCTGCTATTGTTTCATTTGTAATGAAAGCTGTGTTATGTGAAAGAAACTGCTGAGATTATTCTTAAAATAGCATGCCTGTCTCCACGTTAACTTTCAAGTTTCAGAATACAACATTGCAAAGGGACAAAGAATAAGCAACAAACAGATGAAACAGATCCACTCCATCAGCAGAAACCTAATTCCATGAATTTGCCCAATTCACTTACTTCATCATGAGAACTCATCCTAATAAGAATAACTATAGCATTATAAAATATCTATTTTTCATATGTATGTTTTATATAAACTGATTTAAAGTGCATAGGCTGCAAGCAAGCCAGTCCTCACGTTAAATGATGAAACGGGTGGGTGGGTGGGGAGAAAGATGACTAAAAACCCCATTCTTCACATAAAATTAATCGCTTTCTTTGCTAATATAAGGGTTATAATGCTTCTCTCTACTTCTGCTCTCTGCCTTTCAAGGGACCTATGAGTTCCAATTAGTGCAAGAGGTAGATTTGAATAATTGCTGGCTTTTGTATATTAAAAGAAACAGCAGCCATTGCGTCTTTGTTCTAGTATGCTTTCATGATTCAGTGCTGACCTGTGATCTGCTTGCATTGGTTACATCAAAACAATTAAGTTAATCTGCAAAGAGCTTCCTGAACCTCATCTCCAGGCTTTTGCATAGTGCAGACAGGGCTTCCACCTTTGCCAGCAACGTTATTTTCTCCCTGCCCCCCTTTTTTTGCTTAACGTCCAGCCCGAAAGCGTTTTGCGAAACTCAAAGGCTCACTACTCTGCTAGGACTCTTGCTTGGTTCTAATGAAGGCATTTTGCTGCCTCTGCTTGTTTGCATTTGTTCCCCACCTACTCACTCAAGAGGAGTACAGAACACACAGGGGACTCTTCAAGTCCAACAAAGGGCTCCCCTCTCTTGTTGGGAACAAGCAACCATTAATAAGAAAAGGGGAATCAGACAATCAAACTTGCCCACAAAGAGACTGGCCACATTTGGGGGAGAATTCCATGGCATAAACTACCAATATCGGCTGGCATTAAAACGATCTCCCCTTCCACCTAGAAATACTCATTACTACTTGTAGCAATGCAATTCAACACTTCTGCAGGCACTGAACAAACTACAAATGGATTAAAATCTACAAGACTTGAAGCGGAAAAGGGAGAAACAAGAAGTGGGAATCTGAGCAGGCATTTGCAAGGTCAGGCTAATGCTACTGGCTGTGGTGAAAGTGATGTCACGAAAGGGAAAGGGGTCTCAGAACACCTCTCAACACCATTTTCTAAGCAAGCACCACTCACTTAGACTGTGTACACACCATACATTTAAAGCACATGGCTCTCCCCCCAAGAATCCTGGGAACTGTAGCTTACCCCTCACACAGCTACAATTCCCAGCACCCTTCGCAAACTACAGTTTTCAGGATTTCTTTTGCTGGGGGTGGTGGGAGTCATGTACTGAAAACACATGGTGTCTACAGAGCCCAGGAAGTGAAAAGCAAATCCTGAAACATACATGTGCCTGGGGAGCAGCAGAAGGAGTAAGGCTAGGGAAAGTTTCTTTTAAATGCTCTGGGCTTATGTGCTTTCCATATGTAAGCCATCCTATGACAGCATGACATCATAGGCACGATAGAAGCATCGCTGACAGTAAGACACTGCTCCTGAAAAACCCAACAACAAGCATATTTTCCTCCTCCCTCTTCTGCCTTCAAGTAAGTGCTTGTTTATTTTCCAGCTATTTCCAGTAACTTACCCCCAAGGAGACAAATGCACCTCTGGAGGGTGTTATGGCAAGGCAGGGCTTTTCCCAGCAAGAACTGCATTGGTGTGTGCACAAAAACACACATTCACGACGATCCCTCTAAGATCCATGAACTGGGCAAGCAATTGCTGGATTTTCAAATGGGAAATTCTTATTTTGTTGCTCTACACACCACTCACCGGCACTTTCTTGGCCAAAATCAACCAGCTGTATCCTAATGACTAACTAACAGTCAGACATAAGTCAAAACGGCTGCACAAGCAATGCTTGGATTTTTTTAATCGCATAAACAAGAATGCCTAGAAAATCTGACCTTGACAAAAGATATCAGTCAGTACAGTGGTGCCTCGCAAGACGAAATTAATTCGTTCCGCAAGTCTCTTCGTCTTGCGGTTTTTTCGTCTTGCGATGCACGGTTTCCCATAGGAATGCATTGAAAATCAATTAATGCGTTCCTAGGGAAACCGCCTTCAGACCAGGTCCGGGGACAGACTGTCCCCGGACCTCTTCTGAAGGCTGGGGGGGACGACAAGGGCTTTTCTTCCCACCCCCAGCATTTTAAAAAACCCTGGGACAGCGGAGGACTTCTCCGCTGTCCGGGCGATCTTAAAATGCTGGCGGGCGGCATTTTAAAATCGCCCCGGGACAGCGGAGGACTTCTCCGCTGTCCGGGGCGATTTAAAAGCCCCTGGGAAGGCAGGCAGGGGGGACAAAGACTTTCACCCCCCGCCCGCCTTCAGAAGGTGTTCCCGCCCCCCCCCCGCTTTGGAGCAGCGTTCCGAAGCGGGGTGGCTGGGGCAGGTGTTCCCGCCCCCCGCCCGGCTTCGCAGCAGCGCTACGAAGCCCGGCGGCTGGGGCAGGTGTTCCCGCCCCCCCACCCCGCTTCGGAGCAGCGTTCCGAAGCGGGGTGGCTGGGGCAGGTGTTCCCGCCCCCCACCCGGCTTCGCAGCAGCGCTACGAAGCCCGGCGGCTGGGGCAGGTGTTCCCGCCCCCCCCACCCCGCTTCGGAGCAGCGTTCTGAAGCGGGGTGGCTGGGGCAGGTGTTCCCGCCCCCCCACCCCGCTTCGGAGCAGCGTTCCGAAGCGGGGTGGCTGGGGCAGGTGTTCCCGCCCCCCACCCGGCTTCGCAGCAGCGCTACGAAGCCCGGCGGCTGGGGCAGGTGTTCCCGCCCCCCCCACCCCGCTTCGGAGCAGCGTTCCGAAGCGGGGTGGCTGGGGCAGGTGTTCCCGCCCCCCCGCCCGGCTTCGCAGCAGCGCTACGAAGCCCGGCGGCTGGGGCAGGTGTTCCCGCCCCCCCACCCCACTTCGGAGCAGCGTTCCGAAGCGGGGTGGCTGGGGCAGGTGTTCCCGCCCCCCCGCCCGGCTTCGGAGCACCGGGAGAAGCGATCTCCCCGCAGCCCCTTGCTTCAAAAGAGGTCCGGGGGCAGACCTCTTTTGAAGCAAGGGGCGGTGGGGAGAAGCGATCTCCCCGCCGCCCCTTGCTTCAAAAGAGAAGACCCGCTGTCCCCGGGGCAAGCTTCGTTTTGCGAAGCAAGCCCATAGGGAAATTCGTCTTGCGAGGCAGCTCGAAAACGAAAAAACCTTTCGTTTTGCGAGTTTTTCGTCTCGCGAGGCGTTCGTCTTGCGGGGTACCACTGTACTTTACATTTATATATTGCACTGGAACATTCAAAATATATTTTTATCAGTAATCCTTACAACAACCTTGTATCAAAGCAATTATCACGCCCCACAAACCCAATTTCTGAGGGGTTTGTTTGTTTGTTTAGGAAAAGAAGATTTTCTCTCAGTGGCTTGCATTTCCTTCTCTGTATAGATATTTCACACATGCACTTTAAATGATTGCACGCCCATTTTTATTTAAAGTGTTAGTAGTGTTTTAAGTTGTTCACTGCTATGCACTGCAAATCGCATCCCTTGCTCTCTGTCACTGGGAGCCGACCTTTTCGTTAATCATTCCACAAGCCAGGACCAAAAATGAGGCAGTGCCCCTCTTATGAGGACCATGGCGCATAGGCATCCCCACCCACGTACCTGGGAGTCACTTTCTTGCAGTCTAGCAGCTTGGCGCTGAAGGAGCAGGCCAGCTTATGCCCTCCCTAGGACTGCAGGTCAGCCTGCAGGTCAGACTGTCCAGGTGTGCCACAAACTACTGCTCCTGAGCCTTTCATGGCCCCCGAGTTGTAGGCTGGCCACCTATGCAAATTGATCCCTGCTCCTTCTATCATGCACAACACACACACACACATGAACTAGCCTCAAATTCAGAGGTACCAGCACAGGTTATGGTCCTACCTGCTGCGTTTGCTGCCTCTGGATGGCACGCACTTTGGGAACTGGGCTCTCCCGGGAGGACGAGGATTGTTGCCGGGACCGGTTGCCGTTCTGAAGAGGCTCCGCTGCCATTGTGGCAGATGCTACAGACACGCTCCCTGTGCTTCGCAGAGAAGCGCTGTGCGGAAGGGACTGGGGCGCCTTGGCTCTCGCACCCAGTCCCGCTTGGTCCACTTTGCGGATCTGGGCCTGCCCAGTGCTGTTCTGGCGAGGTAACACCATGGGCACGTGCTTGTCCAGTGCTGTGCCCCGTCGGGGAAAGTCCTCGCTCTGTGTGCTGCGTTTGGTGAAGTCCTCCATGCTGCTGTTGCTCGGCCCGCTGAGCTTAAGGTCTTCACTATTCTGGCTCCGGGAACTGGTGACACTCAGATTCTCCAAGCTGGAGTCCATGGACACCTTTGGTGGCATGGCCTGGGCGGGGTTGTTCATATGGTAAACAGGGTTCTGGAAGGAGAGGGCCTGTAGAGGGCCCGGCTGGCTGAGTGGTGTGTGCAGAGGCCTCCTGACCTGAGGGGTGCTCTGCGGTGTGCTGTGGAGCTGCTTGATGTTCGCCACCTGGATTACAGAAAGCTGGCTGCCGGATAAACGTACAGGAGCATCGTGCATCACGGACCCGGAATCACACTGCACAACATTGGGATCTTGGAGATCCATCAGCGATATGCTTCGGACATTGGGCATGTTAGTCTCGTCACTCTTGTCGGAGTAAGTCACACTGCGTGACGATGACTGTTGAATCAGCAACAACTTGCTTTTGAAGTACCCTTCGTTTTCCTGGGGGGGCGACTTCAATTTGACCTCACTGTGAAGTTGAACAGAAAGAGTACCAATGTCTGGTGAGAACAGAAGCTGTGCCCCACAAAAATCCAGCTCTTTCCTTAAAAGCAACAACAAACGAAACAAAACCCATGCAGTCACTGGAACAGTATCGCCTAGGCCAGGCTCAGAAAACCACCTAAGCCATTGTTTAGGTTATCATAAATGAGGTGCTGCAAGCCTCTGGGCTCATATGCTCCCCACTCTCCTGCTCCTTTGTACATGGGAAGAGAACACGGAAAGCCCTCGATTTCAGTTTTGAATAAAGAACAGTTTTGCATTACTTGTGGCTTGTTCCAACTAAAGTTAGCTTATACAAATCAGGCTCAAACTGTGGAACTGGAAGCCTCCACTGCCCTCCTTTCCTGTATAGTAGGCAGGGAGGGAAAGGGAGTTCACAAGCCTGAGACTTGTTTTGATCCCCTAAACCTAAAGACCTGAGCTGGCCCTAAAACACACTGAGCACGGCGATTCCTGTTTGCTAGCTAACAGCTTAAGTTTTAAGTGAAACTGACAGAACGTTTACATGAGGTTTCACTTTCCCAAATACCCTCTCCTTTCAGCTACAAAGAGATTGTTTTGGCTGTATTTATCTCATAACTTGATAATGAATCCAATTTCGGATTCCAAAGCTAAAGCTCTACCCTCATACTGCGAGCTAAGCCCAGGAAATATCCTTGACATTCCTAGGGCGACTTGCCACCAGAATGGAAACCTTGGGCACCCACATTGTTAGACTCCACTCTTCTTGCCTTAATTCCTGCCTACTCAGAATACCATCGCCCACAATCATGTATTGAACAGTGATGGTGGGAGAAAAGCTTTCTAACCTTACTGGTGACATAGAGGAAAGGGTAAAGTTTGTTAAGGAATAATAAACAAACCCTTGCAAATAAATCATGCCTATCCATACATATCTGACTCATTTGAGGCCTAAAAAGCATGATAAACAGAACTCTCTGGCACAACTTGCCTGCTTGGTTGCTGGAAGACAGTCCTTATCTGCCACAGGCAATTGGCTATTTACAACTATGCATTAGAACGAGTTTGAGAAAATGCGGAAACACACCGTTTACTCATTGCTATGGCACAGGAACTATTATAGAATGAGAGCTAATGTAGCATGGTGACTTTCACATCTGGGTGGGGATGATAAGACTGGCTTACCTTACAGGGCTGTAGTCAGGACTGCTGAGATAATAACAGTGAGCACTGTTCAGCAGTGTATGCGTGCTAAGTGTTAATATAATATGGGAAACCCAGTCCTTGAGATACCAGCTTGACCAAGGTCTACTCTGGGTCAAACACTTTGGTCACAAGCTGCACCTCAGTGGTAGAGTGCATCCTTCCAGCATCCATTGCTGCCGCCTTCACTTAGAAAGGATATCAGATAGCAGGGCTGGGAATGTTTGACTTGGAGATGTGCAGCTGGTCACAGTAGAACACAACAGGCTACATGGACCAGGAGTTTAGCATAAGGCTTCTCAGTCTATAAAATGATCACTTTAAGCCAGGGATGGGAAACCTATGGCTTTCCAGATGTTTCTGTGTTATGGCTTCCATCATCCCTACCTGTGAGTCATCCTGGCTAGGGAAAATGGGAACTGGAGTTCAACAACTGGAGGTCTACAGGCTCCCTCATCCCAGGTTTAAGCACAGCCAAGACCTCCCCCCCTATTTCCCTGGGCAATGCGTCTTCCTGACAGCCCTATAACCCCAGGGATAGCCCGGTGCTGCGTACCTGTCAATAGGGTCCTCAAAGATTTTTTGCAGCCCTGAGGAGAGGCTGACGTTGGGGCTTGAGTTGTGATCTGCCAGGCGTCTCAATTGTTGCTGGATCGGCGTGGGGTTTGTTGTGGCCTTGGCAATATCTGCGAGGATGCGTGGCAAAGGTCCCAATTTTTCTACCGTTGCCTGTAGGAAGGAATTTTCACCCTGATTCGACAATAAGCACCGTGGCACCCGCCATTTGAGTATTTGTTTTGTTTTGAATGTGGTTTTTTTTAAATAAAAAAAATAAAACAATGATGAACATGGGTGGAAGAGTGGAAGGAAAGAAGGTGGCATTTGTGTGTGGGTGTGGGCAGGACCACAATGCATTGTTATGGAGCAGCGGAACCACGGCGACCAGACGGATGGAGGAGACGAAACAGGGTGCGGCAGACATTGAGGAAAGAAAAGGAAATAGAAATTAAAAACTGACCCCCCAAAATAAAAAGGTCATGCTCAACAGAACAAAACTAATTGCCATTCCAACACAAAACTGTCATGCAAAGCAAACTGCATTCAAAGGGAAGGGTAGTAGAAACGGGACTGGGGGGGGGACAACTGCAATTGCTACCAATTGAAATGGGATTTAGAAAACTAGAGAATAATTCAACTGCAAAGAAGTTTCCAGCCCCCCCCATCCCAAAAAGTGTCCTGTGGTCAGGGAAATGCATGCTGACATACAGGGAGATTTGCATTCAGGAGGTTTGCAAGAGCACTAAAAGTATATGTGCGGAAGTGCAGTGTTTGCGTTTAAAGATATCCATTTAATTAGTCTTTAACCTCTTTATGAATTTGCTGTTTGTAATCATTAATAGGTAGAATTCACCTGTTCCGATGTTTAGTTTAACTGGAATAGACCAGGTTAATTTTATGCACGCTCCATGAGCTCTATATCCTTTATTGTTAAAAAAATGGGATGTTGTGTACAGGTGTGAGGGTGAGGACTCCAAGTGGGTTCTGTCCTGTCTATAACAGGTAGGGCATTTTTGCTACCTGGCTATCATGGTGGAGGCAACTGGAAGGTGTGGATGGCCTGATCCTGGGCAAGGTAAAACCTGCTTGGAAGCTGCTGTGTTGTGCGATGGATTCAGAACCTCTCTGCACCCAGGAAATTATACTTCCAATGATGACAAATAACTCATCAGTGTGCAATAATATCTATAGCCTAAGAGCAAGATGCATCTTTGTGCCAGAGCTTAGAGGCCTCTGAGTGGACTCTGGTTTGGATATAAATTCATTTCTGTCCACAGCAGAGTCCAGGAAGTCCCACCTGAAATCCATATAGAACAGTAATTCCCAAACTGCAATCTAGGGCACACCACTGTGCCAGGAGACAACTGCCAGTGTGTCATGAGAAGCCAGTTAAGGTTCTGATGAATCTCAAGCGCCAACTCACAGAGGAGGTTGCTGCTGTGTCTCTGTGTGAGTTCCTGCTCTGAGCATGGCTCTTTCCAATTAGCTGGCCCTGGGAGCATGCAAGTCTACTGTGGTTACCTCTTCTACTACAGCAGTTAATTAACATAAGATAATTGCATCATTGCAAATGGCAGCTGTTGTGAACGGCCATTGTGCTTATCTTTAAATTTAAAAACCAACAACTAGACTGATAGAAATATAATTAAACACTTCCTTTATTGAATCCCAAGTGGTCCCCAACTTTATGGCCTTATCCTCTTGCCTGATCATCACTACTTATTGTGAAGAAATAAAGCAAAAAGCCATTTAAGCTGGAATACCATCCCATTAGTCCATAGTATCACTGTACTGGAAAGAAAGAGCACACCTGTCTCTAATGTTAGGTTTTGGCTAATTTGTATTTGCCTACTTTTTCATTAACAACTGAGACAAATGCTTTGCTTTTAAGGGGCCTCATGCACACGGGAAATAATATTATGTTAAGACATGAAGTCATTCCAGTGGCCTGGGAGGAATAACCTACCTAAGGAAAACTTGTCCAGAAATATGTGGGTTTCATGAATGCAAATATGGATGTGTGGAGGAATGGAGAAAGGAAAAGAGGCAGGGAACTCCACATTTTGACAAAAACACAAGATGCAAACGTAATGTGCCTGTACAAAATACTTGTGTGCAGTGCCAACAGCAAATTCAATTAAGAGTAATTTTTCAGTTCTTCAAAGAGTAATAACCCACCATCGCCACCGAAACAATTCCCTGACAATCTGTTCCTTCAAATGAAAATTCTAGCTGGAGTAGTTTAATTATATAGAATTATGGACAGCAAAAACTTGCAAGAGTGATGGGCAGTAGCTACTGAACACAGCTAAACCATGTACCAATGTGAACAGCATCTCTTTGCTGTGTTTTTGGTCCAGGGCAATCATGACTGGTGCACCCCCTTCCCCGTCTGCCATCCTCTTTATGTTCTCCCCGCCTGCCATCCTCTTTATGTTCTCCCTACCTGGCTTTTCAACATTATGCATGGTGCGTTGCATCATCTAAGGTGAAACCCCATGATTATGTTTGTGAGAGGCCAAATTTGTTTCAAAATGTAAAGGCCAAACAAAGAATAGCTTAAGCTGTTCAATCAGAATTAGTGGAGGATTTAGGTAAAGGTAAAGGTACCCCTGCCCATACGGGCCAGTCTTGACAGACTCTAGGGTTGTGCGCTCATCTCACTCTAGAGGCCGGGAGCCAGCGCTGTCCGCAGACACTTCCGGGTCACGTGGCCAGCGTGACAAGCTGCATCTGGCGAGCCAGCGCAGCACACGGAACGCCGTTTACCTTCCCGCTGGTAAGCGGTCCCTATTTATCTACTTGCACCCGAAGGTGCTTTCGAACTGCTAGGTTGGCAGGCGCTGGGACCGAGCAACGGGAGCGTACCCCGCCGCAGGGATTCGAACCGCCGACCATGCGATCGGCAAGTCCTAGGCGCTGAGGCTTTTACCCACAGCACCACCCGCATCCCTCAGTGGAGGATTAAAACAAAACAAACAAACAAACAAACAAACGTAAACAGGATTTAAAAAAACGTAAACAGCTTAATAAAACTACACTTGAGGCTCTGCAAAATTCATGCAGTTGACTCAAGCTCCTTATTGACTGTTCTCACCATCTCAAACCTTTAGTCATGTGTGGAATAAAGGCTGGTCAATTACTTTTCTTTATTTTAAAGTTAACTTCTCATGAAGTGTTGGCTCCTACAGCGTAAGAATTATTGTAACCAGGGGACTATCACGGATTCGGCGAGCCCTCCCCAACCTCCAGCCTAGATTACCTTGTCCAGCTGACATACAACTTCCCACAGCAAGGAATGCAAGACGGCGATCTCCCGTCCCAAATCTATGAAGCCTTCAAATCCTGGAGTGCCGGAGATGGTGTCCGCATTAGAAATTTCTATCAGGAAGCGTTTCATGCCGCCCCACTCGTGCTCGAGAAAGTCATTCATAAATGTAATATATTCTTCTTTGTTCCCAAATCTCGATTTTCGTAAGGAGGAAAGAGAGAAAGAAATAGAGAGAGAATTAACTTTTTTTCTGGGGATGGATGGAACAGTTTCAAGGGAATCTGTGATTTTCTTAACTTATGAAAGGACTGTAATTGCTACCCTTTGTCTGACTAAACCACAGGTTCCATATCAATACTCCTTTTAGTTATGGCTGCTGACAATAATTCATTTTAGAAAAAGCTGAAGATAGCATGAGAAAGTCAGTGTTACCTGTGGTAACTCTGGTTTCTTTTCAGATCGTCCCTGTGGTATGTATGCTTCTTTATTTGTGTTCTGCTATTATCTCTGGCCAAGCAGGCTTTATAGGCTTCAAAAAACAATCAGATATTATATTTGGATAAACTATATAATGAATAGGCAAGCAACCTTCAGCTGCCCAGAGTGGCTAGGGAAACCCAGCCAGATGGGCAGGGTATAAATACTTTGTTGTTGTTGTCAAACTCTCTACGAGTTACTGCATCTTAGTACTTTTGCCCCATTTCAATCTGTATGTGTGGAAATTCAGAGCCAAAGCTTTGACATTAACTTGAAGAGTTGTTTGTTTGTTTGTTTAATACAGATGGCATCAGGTGAAGGGAGGCTGAAAATTAATGGGATCAAAACAAGCAAAGAAAGTCCTCTTTGGAGTTAATGGGAGTTTCCCCACAATGCAAATACTTTTATTTATTTATTATTTATTTAATAAAATTTATATACTGCTTGACTGTGAAAAAAACCTCAAAGAGGTTTGCAAAATAGCATCTTCGGAAGTGGCCCTTTCCACCTGGCCTAGGGGGTGAGGCCCACACTCACCAGCCCTACTGAAGAGGCTCCTCATGAGGCTGGAGGAACATCGCCCGGCTATTGTTTTATTGATTTAATATGCTGTAAATCGCTTTGAGATTTTTTATTAAAAATATAAAGTGGTATAGATTTTTTTTTTTTTTTAGAGTGGGATAGTTCTTAGGACCATAGCAAGGAAAGAAAAGGTTAGATCTCCATTGCTGCTCTGAACGTATTAATTATCAGACAGCTCCAGGGAATGCAATTTGCATTTAAAACAAGAACAAAAGGGGGGGAAACACCTGAAATGCAGAGACGCATTTAACATCAGATGTAGCTGTGGGCCTTCAGAAAGAAGGATCTGCAGGTTCAAAATCCACCTCAGAACTCAATGAAGCTGAAATAGGCAGATTTTAATTATATTCTCATTGATGTCAGAGAAACCGAAGTAGTATCTTGTTTATCGGTTAATTGATACAAAATGTGGTAGTTTGATACTCCTGAAAAACTTCATAGAAGCGGGTTAAGGTGTATATTCTCACGTCCATTTTTGCTACATAAGGAAGTTGCTTCCTAGAAAACTACTACTTATACGTCCTGTGGGGTACTCTGCCCAGCCCCATAGGGCTACTAGCATCAGTGCGTGGGACCATCAAACCATACTGGAAAACAGGAAACTCCAATGCCATTTGAGGCAGTTCAGTATGCTTTCCCCTTTGCAAAATTTATGTCTGCTGAGTGGTGTTAAGATTGCCCTTTTAAAACAAGCTAAATATCAGTTATAACAATGTGTGGGGTGCATTGAAGTTAGCCCTACGGTGATGTTTTGTGTACTACAATGGGACACACTGCACATCTCTGCAGGGACCTGTCAGTGGTGCCAGACTAATCAATGTGTGTGTTGCCCTTAGGGGAGCGCCATCTCCAATTACTGGGGGGGGAGGGTAAAGCAGTCAAGGGCACATTGGGGTAGGAGCTGAATTAGTTTTGTGACACCAACATCTAGGGCAAGACTGGGGATGAGTCATCTGTAAACCGTAACCCAGAATGCAACCAAACTATTTTGCCATCGCAAAAGTAACAGGGCTAGTGAGATTCTTCTATCTGTAGAGCCGAATCCTAGGTCCCAATGACCACTTTTTTGTAGCACAGTGAGCTGAAATTGGTGTGTCCTTCAAGCCAGTACAATTTCAAGCATGTTATTTCGATATGAAAACAGATTCCCATATACTTTGATAGAGCCAAGGCAAGTCAGCAGCTGTCGCCATTGGAGCATTCATAAGTAATGACACAACCCACAATGATGTGCCCTAGTTGCTCTTTTTTTGCTCTAATATCACTTACCTTGTGAAATTTGCCAGATTTTGGATAACCTTTGCAATTAGCGTGAGCGTCCGAGAGGTGCGGTCATCAGGGTACTCTTGCATGAGGTTGAAGAGACTTGGAGACATGATGGCTGGGCAGAGGAAACGGAGGAAAAGCGAGGCACTGATCAAGCGTTCACTGATATCTTGTTTCCCCCTGTTGAGGCACTGCTGCTTCCACGATGCAAACACCTCCTTCAGCTCCCGGGGAAAGACACTGGAAATGAATGAAACCGCACAAGGACATTAAGTATGTAAGCTGAGCCAGCAAAGCCCTAGGTGCCACTGGGCTTGGCACAGGGTCATTCAGCAAGAGGAAGGAGAGGGGTGCTGGCAGAAATGCAGGGTCAGATGAAGACATTTGCCTATCTAATTTCATCATTCAGTGCTCTCCCCTCATTTAGTGAGGAGGGCCACGTGAACCAGCCAACTCTCACCTTGTGAGGCGATGTGTGTATGACATGCTAATTTGCATGATCTACAAACGTACTTACGGTATGACATACTTATTGGGAGAGATCCTATCCCAGAGTGTACAATTCTGACAAATGAAGGCAGGGATTGCGCCACCAGCCCTTGTGACATTATGGGCTGGTACAGTGGTGCCCCGCAAGACAAATGCCTCGCAAGACGGAAAACCCGCTAGACGAAAGGGTTATCCGTTTCTGAGCTGCTTCGCAAGACGATTTTCCCTATGGGCTTGCTTCGCAAGACGAAAACGTCTTGCAAGTCTTGCGATTTCCCCCCCGCTTTCCCCCCTTTTTCTAAGCCGCTAAGCCGCTAATAGCCTTTTAGCAGCTAAGCCGCTAATCCTTTAATAGCCGCTAAGCCGCTAATAGCGCTAATCCGCTTAGCCGCTAATAGGGTTGCTTCGCAAGATGAAAAAAACCGCTAGACGAAGAGAATCGCGGAACGGATTCTTTTCGTCTTGCGAGGCACCACTGTATTCCACATGCAGGAAATGCCGCTAAGTTTTTAAGCTATAGCTTTCACATTGTTATGCCGTTCATTGTAATTAAAGCACAAATTTAGGCTGGATCTCTCCTTAGGAGGTTCTTCCCAGCTTACAGCCCATTTCTGAGCATGATTTAATTCCACAAATAGGAAGCTGCCTTATATCTGTGAATGGCACAGGCAGGCAACCTATGGAGCATGTGGGCTCCCAGAGGTGGACATGTAGCCACTTTGCTCTTCCCTGTACTTGTCCATCGCTTTCAACAGGTCTACTCTGAGTATAACTAGTGCTGGCTATTTCCCAAAATCTCAGATCCACAAATTCTTCTTCCACAACGATTCTAGGAGATTCAGAATTTCATTCAATATTAGCTTGAATGTCTGGGGCTAAAAGTGAGTCTCTTCTACCTCCACTTATCCTTGTTCCAGCAGGCAACAGTGTTTAGAAAAATCGTGTGGATAATTTCCTTGCTGAATTCAGCAAGGCTATCCATTTCTGACTTGTCCAGTGATGAAACTAGGACATTAAAATTTTTAAAACTTATTAAACATTTTTTTTGGTAATACCTTTAAGTAGCATCTATAAATATATAAAGACAATGAAGAAAAAACAAAACTAAATACCGTAACAGAAAACAGATGCTTTATGTTCTAAATAGAGGAACAAAGAGAAACTAAAGATACAGTTTATCTATCAAGAAGAAATATTTCCCCTTCTAACTTGCATAAGCACAGGACACTGATTTTCTGTTATCCAGAGCAAAAAACCCCAAAGATTGTTTTTCTGGTTAAATAGTTTGGTTTTGTATATGGGGAGATTCAGATACTATTTTCCTTGTATTAGGGAGGCTTAAAAGATATTTGACTGAAGCTGACCTCAACTATGTCCCCCGCAGTGCTTTATTTTATCTTTTAGAAACCGCCATTCACTCTGAGAGAAGGTAAAGACATGTCCTCGGGGAAACTGTTGGGGTGGTGGGTGGTAAATGCACCCCATGACCTCAGGCCTGCTTCTTGCAGTGGGGAGGCTCCCCACCCCTGACAGTATTATTGCCAGTTCAAGTCTATTTAGCCTCTCATTAAGTCCTGTGAAACAATACTGCCTATGGGCAGTGCTGGGGGCGGGCGGGGGGCAACCCCCCTCCCAATAGGGAGTTCACTCCTCACTTGCCCCCTCACATTGCTAGACCCCTGTCCTTAACATATACTGTGATTTTTCTTTCAGATATCTTAACATGTGGGGCACAGGTTGCTCACCTAGAAATATACTTTGCCCCTTTTGTGCCCCCCACAGATTTTTTTTTTTGGTCTGGTGCTGTCTGGCTAAAACCATATATTGATCTGCATAGCTCTGCCTTAGTTTTTGTTTGTTTGATTTTTGTTGTTACAGACTGTGACAAAGATAAGGTTACCAGATTTTTTTCAATGAATCCGGGGACCCTTCTCAACTTCAATGGATTTTGTATGGGGACTGATATGTAAATCCGGGGACTGTCTCTGGGAAATGGGGACGTCTGGTAACCTTAGACAAAGACAGATATGGCCTCTGTACGTATTTGATTGGCTAGCCTTGTTAGAACCTTAATGGAACAGTAGCTGCTGAGTAATCCTTTTTGGTGTATTAGTGGGGAAAACGATTTGTATTCTTCCTTTGAACTGCCAAAGACCCCTAGCAGTCAGCTCAGCTTTAAGGAAGCTCACTTTACCCATCACAAACCTATCAAAAATCCAGTTGCATAGTCACAGTTCCACTTGACCCCTAAAGCTAATTCATCTCAATTAAGCTGCCTTGTGCTGATAAATGGGACCAGGAAGGACCCACTGAAGCCCACTCCTGGTAAGCTCACTTCGCTTCAATGGGACAGGCAGTTCCTGGTTGACCGTGTCTGCGTTCGCTTACTCCGCTCACAGCATGCAATCCCTGGTGAAATCATTCCTGCCGATCTTTAAAGGAGGAGGCAGGCTGTGTTTACTTTCCTTAAGGTGAATCACCCCAATAAGCAAATCACCATCGGAGAAGCGCTCTCTGAACTCACCAGTAGGAGTTGATGATCTTGCAGAAGGCTAGCTCGCAACACATTTTAAGATTGGCCTGGTGATCGGCTAGCTCGCTCGGAGAACTTTTGCTGGGATCCACTTCACAGTTCTCGTCCGACTCATACAACGCCTTGATAAATTCACCTAGTAGTCGGGTGGCAAGACACAGCAAATCAGGACACCGTCTTATTGAAATGTTACCTACAAAATTTCTGCTGATAGATGATGACACCACACACTCCCCCACCCTGATTTGAAGCGTAAGGTTGACCAAAGTCTGTCAAATCACTGATGTCTGAACAAATTCCGCAAAGGATGCAGAAACTTCATTCCTCTTCCCTGATTCATAATGAAGCCAACATTCTCCCTGAAGTGGGGTACAGAAACCTCTTTGTCCCCTCCAGCAATCAGATTATCTTCTAAAGAATGATATTAAACTAACCTTATGTCATATGACCTAGACACAGATTAGTAGTGATTGGAAAATTATTTATCCCCTTTGGAATTAAAACCATGCCACTTATGTCTGTCAACTGCTTTGGCTTATGGGTTTTGCCAAAAAACCTAAACATTCCTTTGCTGCCCTTTAATTTCAGTGGCACATAATTTGATTCTCTCATTACAGAAAAGGATAAACAATGATTACAGTAAGTCAGCGTTCACCTTGCCCTTCATGTATAATAACTTCACTTATTTAAACTAGGTCAAAGAGCTTAAGCTACTCTGCCCTCACTATATCTGTGTCTGTGATTTTTTGCAACTAGCCCATTAATTTTAAGGATGAATAGTGAAGATGGACATTGACTTTCAGGAATGAAGTTAGCAGAAGCAAGAGGGCAAGGCCAGTAATTTCTTGTTATGACTCAGTGACAACTGTAATGTTGTAGGACTTTGTTAGTGCGCAAGGTTAGCTCTGGGCACAGATTATCCTACCCAAATTGGGAATCACTCTCTTTATCGCATTCTGTTCTCTGCTGCACATTGGAGCATGGCAGTAACTGTGGAGATCCAATGGGACTTGTGGCAGCACAGTCTCTCTGCTCTGTCAGTAAGTGGTAGGACAAAAATCTTCTGGGAGTTCCAAAAACTCAAGCAAGTTTCTGGACCTCACTGTTGCACAGAAAATAGGCGTAAGTCTTGCAGTTTCTACTGAACAGAAGGGCATACATGGAGATTTTGGTAACAAGAAAATGGCTTCTTCTCTCCTTACAGGTTATCTCAACTGCCTTTAACCACACGCTGATTCTCTATTTTACTTAAAATCCAAGGCTACTGCGAACTGAAAATTGGATATTCTGCAGAACACACAAATTACGGTTTGAGCGAAGTAACCATTTGAATATTTAATCTGAAGGATGTGTATTTCAGATTTTTAGTGAATTCTAAATTCTTTGCTTTGAGAATTCAAAAGAAAAGGGAGGCTACTGCTACAACAGACACATCTGAGCCCCAGACAGTAATCCCTAATTCCTTAAAGGTAAAGGGACCCCTGACCGTTAAGTCCAGCCGCGGACGAGTCTGGGGTTGCGGCGCTCATCTCACTTTACTGGCCAAGGGAGCCGGCGTACAGCTTCCGGGTCATGTGGCCAGCATGACTAAGCCTCTTCTGGTGAACCAGAGCAGCGCACGGAAACGCCGTTTACCTTCCCACCGGAGCGGTACCTATTTATCTACTTGCACTTTGATGTGGTTTCAAACTGCTAGGTTGGCAGGAGCAGGGACTGAGCAACAGGAGCTCACCCCGTCACGGGAATTCGAACCGCCGACCTTCTGATCGGCAAGCCTAGGCTCTGTGGTTTAGACCACAGCGGCACCTGCGCCCCTAATTCCTTACTGGACCCCTTTTATTTTGACCTTTCCTGGCTTTCTATCTGGACCCAGTCCCATCTCTGTAAACTGAACCCACCCATTACATTATTTTAGAGAGGCTAAGACTTCTTCAAGGTGGTTTTTCTAGGAGGTGAAAGCAGCATTGGAAACCAGAAACATTGCAGCAGCTACTGAAAACGCCCCCATGGGCCCAATGTTGTTTTCATCTGCAATTCTCTACACAGGTATCTTTGAACTGGGTAAAAACAACAACCCTGAACTATTTTTTGAAACGCAAGCAAGCACATTTTGAGCAGCCAAGAGAAATAAACGTTTACGTGCTCAACAGAGCACATTGCCACCGACAGCTGAAATTGGGTAACTAAAGAAACAGGGGGACATTCTGAGAGCATGAAATAGAGCAATTGGGAGCATTGCTGGAATAACTACCAACAGAAAGATCCAGCTAACGTTCAAAAGAAGCATTCAAGGAAAACACAGGTGATTCAACACAGCAGATAATGAACTATGGTATAGGAGAAATGGAAAAAAGCCAAGCCTCAATATGCTGCAGTACTTATTCAACTTGTTAACAGGCTGACGTACCCCGTATGTGAGGCCTCTGCCTGGAAGTGCCATTTGGAAAGGTTCAGGGTAGTGGGTATGTTTGCATACCATAGCATCTATGGAGTGCGCATTTTGGGATTAAATAGAGAATGTTATAGTCAGGTGTTTTGTGAGGGTACTGGGATATTTTGTCAGGTGTTTTGTGAGAGATGTTGGAGACCAGACAAGGAAACAGGCCTGTTTGCAGAGGAAGAGGAAAATGGGGGACGTGGCCTGGGAAGCGCCTGACAGTGGCACGATTTACCACCAGGCAATTCTCTGAAGCAAGGGTGCCAACTTTAATAAAATATTTGGGGGGACAGGTAGGCCCCACCCCACATAACTGATCACAGGATGTGGCACACAAACACCATTTGAATGGCAATGTCTATCAACTTTGGGGGGCCTGGCCCTCTCAAATATTTTATTGGGGGGCAAAGGGACCTTGGCCCCTAAGAGTTGACTCCTAAGCTCTGAAGATGCAGCTCTACACCAGCCTGTGTTCTGTGTGTTTGGCCAATCTTGCCAATACATTTCTCTGTGACAATGAGGGATGTAAACTGTGTATGTGTGTGTTTATGGAGGAAACAAAATATTCTCAGGACTTGAGAGTCCGCATTAGATAAGCCTGTCTTCCATAGAACGATTACTGTCAATCTGTTTCCAAGAGCTCCTTTCAGACTGGACTAACCTCAAGGAACCTGTCAGCCCGACTCAGGATATCATTGATACTATTATGCCACCAGCAATGTGACTTTAATACTCTGACTTTAATACCTCACTTTCTTTAATGGCCTTATAATAGGCTTGTTAAAAAAGGCCATGAATGCAAACATGCTTTCCCCCCTGTGAAAATATAGTGAACCACATAACAGTTTATAGTGTAAAAACACCTAAAACTAACATAGTGCTATCCTATATATGTTTATTCAAAAATAACTCCCATCACATGTCAGTGGAAACAGGATGGCAGCCTTAAAGATTTATTTTCAATAGTCAAGATAAATTAGGTGCTCTTAAAACACACACTAATCAAACTGTTATTATACTGTGAGATCTAAGTGAAAAGGACTCTAGAAAGAATTACAATGGAAGCAGTCTTGGCTTTTGGAAAAGAAAAGCTGCAGAATCCTAATTAGCATTTTTGATTGCTGATGTCTATGATTTAAAATCTTATCTCTCCCAGTGGTATCTTGAATCACATATTAAAAACTGCTAATTTTAAAATAACTTCATATAATTACTAGACATTAAAGACTTAGAGCCAAAGGATGCAATCCAGAAGGAATCTATTTTACGCAATCTCCATTTGAATGAATGGGAGCTGGATGAGAGCACTATTTGCTCTTCCACAGTCGCCAATCCCGCACTACCAAGCTGTTCTGCAAATCCCATTTATTTCAATGGGTTTGGTGCAAGAGAGATTCCCATCAGATTGTGCCTCTAAAACCTGGATTGAAACGAATTACAGATTCTTAATTTGCTTGGAAATTCATTATTACCACAATGAGAAACATACACAGTAAGTATAGTTGGTAACTGGAAAATGAGGAAAAGACTTGAAAATGTGTACATAGGAGAAAAGAGGGATGCACTTACTTGAAATGCTTAATGAATAGTTTTCTGTGCAGTTTCATACTGGGGAACTTTACATACGTAGTTGCCCAGTGTGGAACTGTGCAGGGGCAATGAAGTATAATTGTTTGCCTAATTTCAGCAAATGTCCCATATGTCTGGATCCTTAAAAGTTTGATCTGGACCCAGGAGTTGTAATTCCCTCCTACCCCAAATTCACTCTGAAGAGTACGAAATATTCCCCAGGTCAGGCCTTCTGGATTGCTTCTAAGGTGTGGTTTTAACAACTTGGGAGTTATTTCATTGCGTGTCTTCCCACGCTGTTTTGGTAGTATCAGCTACCTCATGCCACATGGGTGGAGCTGTTGTCCTGGTTTTGTAAGAAGGCAACTGTGGGAAGGGAACCACACTGTGGGTGGGCTCCATTCACTAGAGGAGTCTGATGTTACTGAAGCAGTACTGTGAGAACATTGGCACCCCCATGCCACTTAATCAACATCAGAAAGTTTCCTAATATAGGTACACCAAAGGAGTTGATAACCAGATGCATGTATGCGCGCGCACACGCACACACAGTCAACACGGACAACCAAATTTGAATCAAATACAGTGGTACCTCTGGTTACGAGCTTAATTCCTTCTGGAGGCCCGTTCTTAACCTGAAACCATTCTTAACCTGAGGTAAAGGTAAAGGGACCCCCGACCATTAGGTCCAGTCGTGGCCGACCCTGGGGTTGCGGAGCTCATCTCGCTTTATTGGCCGAGGGAGACAGCGTACAGCTTCCGGGTCATGTGGCCAGCATGACTAAGCCGCTTCTGGCGAACCAGAGCAGCACACAGAAACACCATTTACCTTCCCGCCAGAGTGGTACCTATTTATCTACTTGCACTCTGACGTGCTTTCAAACTGCTAGGTTGGCAGGAGCTGGGACCGAGCAACGGGAGCTCACCCTGTCGTGGGGATTCGAACCGCCGACCTTCTGATCGGCAAGTCCTAGGCTCTGTAGTTTAACCCACAACGCCACCCGCATCCCTGAGGTACCACTTTCGCTAATGGGCATCCCACGGCTGCCACTGGTGATTTCTGTTCTCATCCTGGGGCAAAGTTCTTAACCCGAGGTACTACTTCCAGGTTAGTGGAGTCTGTAACCCAAAGTGTTTGTAACCCGAGGTGTTTGTAACCTGAGGCACCCCTGTAGAATCATTTTAACCCACAGAATGAACAAAGACCCTATTTCTGCAAAAGCAATTCAGAACAAGAATGAAGAAGCCGTTTTTCCTTTACCGAGAGCATCTTGCAGATACTTCTGTCCCACTAGCTTGAGGTATTCTTCAATGGCTTTAGTGGCAAGTGTATTCTCCCTGAAGATCAACACATCATGCTCCCCACAGCGATCGACCTCAGACATCACCAAGTCAGTCAAGAAGTCCTGAAGGAGAAGCGGTTGGACAACAGAAAGGTGTTTTAACCCAAGGTAAAATGTGCAGCAGGGTTGGGTAGGATGGACTAGATAAGAAGGATAAGAGAATTGCTACATTCAGTGGGGAAAGAAAGAGAAGTGGGGGCTGATTAGGCCAATAGGTTGGAGGTTCCCCACCACAGGTTCATAAAATGCCAGTGTGTTGAGCCTGCAAGCTTGTCAGAAAAGGAAGCACCACTGAGGAATACGGAGGAGGAGCAATTCCTCCCATCCTGTGCCTTCTGTAAACGGTTACCCAGGGCCACACTGGAAAATGGTTGCCAGGTTCAGATCTCAGAGAAAGGGCTGCAGCCCCAAAGGCCAGAGCAATACTCATATATTGTTTTATCAAGCTCTCTTCTCTCTCTCTCTCTCTCTCTCTCTCTCTCTCCTTATTTAAATGCATATCCTGCCTTTAATTCATCTTGGAATACAAGGCTTTGCATATGGAATACTCAGGCAGTCTCCCATCCAGGCCCTGGCCCAGTTTAAACGTCACAATAAACCAGAGTTAAACACCAATTAGGAGACTGTGAGCGTGCAGCGTACAAAACTACTTTAAGGCTCCCAGATGTTCCTTTCATTCCTCTCCTCCTCATGCCATGCCAGTCTGGCATGCTGTGATATGTGAACACAAGCACATGGTTTGCTGCTTCTATGCAAACAAACCACAAGCAGTATTATTTTCATTAAAATAACTTATCGACTGCCTTTCATTTCAAGAGGAAATGGTCAGTTTCTAGACAAACAAACCACAAGCCTGGGTTCAGACATCACAACAAGCGATACCTTGGCTTGTATCCTGGTAGTACAGTAGGAGGAGGATTAGGGGAGGAACAGTGCAAGAACTGTTCAGCAGTGTGCACCAGCAACTGCCCATTCACATTAAACTACAGGTTTTTTTAAAAATAAATAATATGGTTTAATGTGACATGCAAACCAGGCCATTAACTGGTCTCAGACCTGCTTAGCTTCAGCAAGGTTGCAACATCATACATCTTCAAGACCATGTCCTGGGGAACGGGAATCATCATTGATTATGTTGTAAAAGTCTTGACTTTTCTGGGAGCTTAACATGCCAGTTATCTCAAAGAAAGCATTGATTAGCCTTCAGGATTAGATCTATGCATCTCCCTGGGTCTGGGGAGACATATTTGCTTATAACATCTTGTCAGAGCCCAACAATAATGCAATGGAGGCCTCTTAAACATGCAGTAAAAACGAGTCACCTCTGACTTTGAGGGAATGCTGCATTTTGGCCTAAGATTTAATGCAAAGCATATTTTCAATTGCTAAATATATGCAAGAGTGTCACTTTATACTAGGGAACTTAATATAATTTTTGGTAACTTTAATAATAATAATAATAATAATAATAATAATAATTTTTATTTATACCCCGCCCTCCCCAGCCAAGGCCAGGCTCAGAGCGGCTTACAAGCAATAATAAAAACAAGTTGAATGATTACAACTTAAAAACAAAATTAAAATACAACATTAAAATGTAGAAACATTAAAATATTATTATTATTAATAATAATATAATTAATATTAATATATTTAATTAATATTAAATATTAATATAAACTTTAGTAATATGAACAAAAATTTACTTTGCTTTATCCAAGTTATTAACAATTATTGGTGCTCAGTGGAATGCAAAGAGAGGAAGAGCACAGTTAACAATTAAATCATAAAATCCTCATACGTTCTTTCTCTTCTTAAAACTTGAGTCTTTAAAATTTGAATTCTAATGATTCTGCAGTGTAACAATGTTAAGAAGGCAGAGCAACAATATGCTGATATACCCAGTGTACAGTTTGTACCAAAGAAATCTGAGGTCACTTTTCTTCATCACTTCGGGGGAATATTATGGAAGCAATGATAGCTATGAATCATGGTGGTTCAGCAAATATTTCCTGTAACTCTCACACTAATTGGTCAGACGGAAGAAAAATGAGTTTGATTGATAGAATGCTCAAATAGTAAAGACTGGGTGCACAGGAGGAATTCAATGCTTCACTATGTTGAATGTTCAGATGTCCTTGCACAGAGCTTTTATTGACAGGATGCATTAGGTGATTCCTGCGCTATGTTTCTGGTGCCTGGTATGAAAAAGCGTGCAATACAGCAACTTCACTGTAGTGCCTGAATGGGGCAGACCCACACATTTCACCTTAAGTCCCATGCAGGAAGGAGGGATATAAAGTGCAAAGCACACATTTTTAAATGTCAGTGTGTTTATTTTTAAAGCAGTGGATGTCTTTGTATATAGACCCTCTCTTCTTAAAATAATACTTTTGCCGCACAATCCAATATGTGCCTAGAAGTCAGACTTCTTGAGTTCAATAGGCTTTATTCCCAGGTAAGTATGTATAGGACCATAGCCTTAATTATTCTTTAAAACACTGTCTTTGCCTTATGCTCCGTTTCAAGACATCTATAGGTAGAGACAAATTTTGCTTTCAGGATCATAACAAGAAAGAATCAGTTTAATTACTTGGCAGAACCCAATCTGCCACCATCTTTCAATAGCACTAAAAATGACCCAGGGGGGCAAGAGCTTTGCATGTTCTTACCTTGGCTCTGCCAGTGCTCTGAAGAATGTGCACTAAAGCACAGGCCATCTCCTCTTTGTTCCGGACACTGATGACTGGCTCCAGAACAGAGCATAACATTGTGTAGTTGTTGGTCACAAATTCTGCAAACTCTTTGTACTGCTCCATGGGGAGGATGGTAATTGTCTGATAACGGCATTTTATCCGTATGGATGGACCTGTCTTCCCTTTATTGGGCGTGGGAGTGCTGATGGGATACCACTTCTCCACAAATTGCCGACCGGTCACGGCAGCTATGGGGATGTTAACCAGACCCACATAGTTGTTCTTGTCCTTTTCTTCTTCTTTTCGACATCTTTATAGATGTGGATGGTGATGCTGTGGGCAGGTGGAAGGCCAGAGAACTCAAAGTGCTCTCCCCAGAAGATATTATCATTTTTCATTTTGCTGGTTGTGCGGGCAAATAAGGTATCGTCCACGCACAACTCACAAAAGTACCTCTTTTGGGGGCCAGGTCTTTTGCCTCGATGATCCAAAGGCGGAGCACGTTTTCGGCTCGCCGGCAGTTGTCCTGGAGAGAAAAAGGCATATTTAGTTTACCCGAGGCAAACCTCATTGCAAGGGTCAAATACCTAATGTGTAGATGACTTCTTGTTCTACGCTGCTCTTAACTTTTATTATCACTGGTTTATATTTAAATGCTGCGAAGGAGGGAAACTGTCCTCAAGTTTGCATAAAACACAAAACACATATAAGATAAAACAATTAATCAACCATGCTCTGGGCTACAATGGCAATCAGCCAGCTGGCATGGCGAATGGTCAGGGTGTTTGTAGCCTTTATCACTCTAGGGAGGGTACGATACTAAAAACATCTGCAAAAAAAATAACCCTCCAGAAGAACCCACTATGAATAATTTTATGGGAGAGGATGCTTTTTTTCTACAGTGTTCTGGACTCAAGCTGTTTGGGACTTAATAAAGCATAATTGGGAGCTTGAACTTATATCCAAGAGAAACTGGTAGCACTGCAGCTCAAGAAGAAATTTGACAGAAACAAATAAGGCCGTTTATCTCACAAGCCCTAGCTGGAAGCCAGATTTAAATGGATCTCTATAGTGGATAGTACCATTATTCATGTTGTAAAAGAGGGATTGGAATGAAGGACCAGCAATCCAGCAGCCGATGACAGATTCTGTCAGTGGATACATTCTATTTTTAATGCAAACACCAAAATTCAAAATTCTTAGCCTGTGTCTCTTGGCCACTTTGCTAAAGAAAGAGCTCACAGGCATTTTTTCAATAAGACAAACGGTGACGAGTCTCCTGGAAAACAGAAGCATTAATGAGGGTGACAGAAGACCTTTGTGCAAAGTGGAATCGAGTATCATTTTGTGTTATTGAAGAGTTTTCCTCTGGGGCATTGATGGCATTGCTGCCATCAACCTAATTAAATGGGTGTGCTTGTCTGGGGAAGAATGGGAGAGATCTATCACTTGGCCCAGAAAGAAATTACCCCGGGTGCATTAAACCACTGGATTTCCCTTATACCTTGTTTGGTTGGATCGCCCTCCGCAGGTTTTCCATCCACTTGTCTCTTTCTCCCGCTGAGGAGCAGCTGAAACATTTACTGCCACAGGAATAAGTTACCTAAAACAATTTTAAAAATAAATAAATTAAAACCAGCTAAACTCATAATTGCAACTTATGTAAAATAAGGAAGGGCATGAAAATCTTGAATATCCTACAACAAACAATTCTAGAATACTTGCCAATACTAAATTAAGAAAGCAGAGGAAGCATGCACATGTATAAACACGCATGTATGCACATACAGAAATGTACTCATTATTTAATTCGCCTTCACATATTAAGCTTTCAGAAAAAATGGATTTGAAATGTGCATGGAGTGCATGGAGATCAGGAGGGAGCAGGGTTCACGCCTGAAATATGGTAAACTGGGTACAGTCTCCCGCCCACTCCCCCTTCAGTTCAGAAGGCAAGGTCCCTCTAAACTTCTCTCCAAAAGAGAAGCAACTAGAAACACGCTTTCAAAAAACAAACAAACACAGAATGCTGATATTCCCATGTTGCCAAGTTTTGCACTAGACATCTGATTGGATTATTAAATGACAAGGAAGCAACTAAATGACAGAAATTAAAGTTAAAATAGGGTTAAGACAACACAAGGAAAACAACAGAAAAGAAAACAAACAAGTTGGAAAGGGAAACAGAAAAGCTCAGGGTTGGATTACCTGTTCTGCACAAATATGTTACACAAAATTGCAAGATTGTTACTTGAGTACTGTTCCTGCCATGGTGTAGGTTCTTTTTTTTTTGTAATTGCAAGAATTTGTTTTTATGCACTGGGTGCTATTTTACTACAGCAGCTGACAATATCACTTTGTGTAAAAAGCTGCTAAATAAAATAGAAAGTAAAAATGGCCAAAGAATTATTTTGGACCATGACAGTTTCCTTATCGTGTAATAGGGGAGCAACTTTTATGATCCTAGTTGCTCTGAAATTAGTTTGAAGTACTGTACCATACTAAAGGAGCAACGCAAAGTTCCCATGCTAACTGAACTGCTATACAAGTAGAGATGTCTGCAGGACTGCTTGCTCTTTCTGCAAGAATTATTTCACTCAGCAGACAAACCCAGGTTTCTCATAGGTATTTACATTAAATCAAAGCCTGAAGCAAACTAAAACATGTTCCCCTCTAATGAGATACCAATGCAAAGTATGTTGTAATAATTCTTGAGAGTTTCCGCCAACAAAACAAAGTTGCCAGGACAACCAGAAAGAGAAGCAAGCACAGACCAACGTTTGTGCACAAGTTTTTAACATTACATTATCTTAATTTATGTCTATGGGACTGCACATGCACACACTTGCACACAGAAGGCTAACAATATGCCAGTATATAATGTATTGAATCATTTTGCCTGACAAAAGATTATCATTATGTTCCAACGCTTGCACAGATTGTTAGCAGATGACGTTATACCAGGTTAATACAGCACTTCTAAATCCATTCATTGCAACTCAGAGAAACACAACACTATGGGCTTCTCAATAGCTTATGGGTGCTTGAAATAATGCTGTCTCTTTAAAGGTAACATATATTATGTGCTGGAATAGTAACAGACAGTAATTTACAGAATTACTGAATCACAAAAGGATCAAGCAGGAACGAGGGTGCGGGGGGTGGGGAGGGAGAGCCGAATTCCCTAGCTTTTCGGTGCTAGAGAGGCCCACCTACCAGATTTTTCATAGTCCTCCCTCCACCGTTATCAATTTTTACCTTTACTGCCTTTTAAGATTATCATTCTAGGGCAGTCTTGCTGCAGGAACTTTCTCCCTAAGGAATTCCTATGTGAGACATGGACTTTTTGTGGGAGTTGCACAATGGTGGAATGGACTATGGAGACTGGCCGGCTGCTGCTTTAGGAACACTTTGGAAGCTAAATACGTTCCTCCAAGTTGTCCCCCCCCCCAAATCAAGTCAATTTGTATTAGTTCAGACTGCTGCTGTTTTAGTTATATATTCTGATTAACTGGTTTTTACAAATTTCCACCAAATCTTTGGTTTATGTGATTTGTAAGTACGCAGGTCCTGTTTGGATCTGAAAGGTATGGCATAGGTATGGCATCTCTCTCCGTCTAACCTGCCTCAAGGGGTTGTTGTGAGGCTATAATGGGAAGCGGGGAACAACCTTGTGTAACATCCCCCTGATCTCCTTGGAGGGCAGGTGGGAGAGAAATGTGATCAATGTAATATTATAAACAAATATTATCAAATAGATGAAATGTGTCTGCAGAAGACACCCGGGCATTTACCAAAATATTCAGATTTGAGTAGGCAAACTGTAACGAGTGATGAAGTATAAATTGGGCGGAAATTGGAATATACTGTGTTTTTCGCTCTATAAGACGCACCAGACCACAAGACGCACCGAGTTTTTGGAGGAGGAAAACAAGAAAAAAAAATATTCTGAATCTCAGAAGCCAGAACAGCAAGAGGGATCGCTGGGCAGTGAAAGCAGCAATCCCTCTTGCTGTTCTGGCTTCTGGGATAGCTGTGCAGCCTGCATTCGCTCCATAAGACGCACACACATTTCCCCTTACTTTTTAGGAGGGAAAAAGTGAGTCTTATAGAGCAAAAAATACAGTAAATAGGGTTGCCATCTTTTGAAAATGGCCTTCCTGACAGACCTACCCTTGAGGTGGAAGCCAAGTGGAAGTTTTTTCTCCCGTTGTTGCCCCACTCCTTTCCAGCGCTCGCTCTGGCCACGCAGTTTGCTGTGACTCTGTTTGTGCACGGCTCCTGCTTGCTGGTGTTGGGGGGGGGGATGTGTGACTCCAAGCAATGAGCCACCTCTCCCTTTCAGGCCCTCAGCTACCGGCAAGGTCGCGCCTGGGATCGGGCCCAGACAGGGAGGCTCGTTGATCTGCGCCTCTCCAGTCCTGCCTGGGCCTTCCCATCCGTCGTGGCTTGAGCAGCTGTTGGAGGCCGCCGCTGCTGCTGGGGAAGGCCCAGGCAGGACCGGAGAGGTCATGGAGCCGTTGAGGCAGCTGCCGCCGCTGCCCGCATCCCCTCCGACGCAGCTTGAGCAGCCATATGGCTGGATTTTCCCAGATATTCCACTGATTTCCACCCGGACACTGGTTCTGACAGCCGGATCCCAGCAACGTCTGGGAAATTCTGGTCATGTGGCAGGCATAGGCAAACTCGGCCCTCCATATGTTTTGGGACTACAACTCCCATCATCCCTAGCTAACAGGACCAGTGGTCAGGGATAATGGGAGTTGTAGTCCCAAAACATCTGGAGGGCTGAATTTGCCTATGCCTGACATATGGCAACCCTAAATATAAAACTACGCCAGTTCATAACATCTCACTACAGGACAAAGGCCGAATCACTGCAAATTTGGTCTTGGGCTTCTCTGCTGCCTGTCAGCAGCCGTCTCTTCACCCTCCTCCCCTTCTTCCAAACTAACTGCTGGTGGAAAAGGTGGAGTTGTGGCAGGGGCCGCGTCTCTCCTCCCTTCTTTTTAGTTTCTAGAGTGTATCTGGGATGTTGCTGTTGCAACCTTCTGGGTGCCGGAAAGAGACGGCGAGAAAGTGACACTCAGGAGGGGGTGGAGAAGGAAGGAAGGAAGGAAGGAAGGAAGGAAGGAAGGAAGGAAGGAAGGAAGGAAATGGTATTGCCGGAATTGCCCTATCTCTAAGTAAGCTTTAGTCAAGAAAAGGGGGACAGTGACTAGCCAAGGCTGCCTGTTATCAGCTGCTCTGATCTACTGTGCCCACACATACTGTACATGCCTCCCATTTCTCAGGACACTCACCAAGAAATATTGCAAAAAGCAAGGGGAAAGCAGGACTACCCCAAGCACAATTTGCCCCTTACTAACCATGGGACACGGGTGGCGCTGTGGGTTAAACCACAGAGCCTAGGACTTGCCGATTAGAAGGTCGGCGGTTCGAATCCCCGCGACAGGGTGAGCTCCCGTTGCTTGGTCCCTGCTCCTGCCAACCTAGCAGTTTGAAAGCACGTCAAAAGTGCAAGTAGATTAATAGGGATTGCTCCGGTGGGAAGGTAAACGGCGTTTCCGTGCGCTGCTCTGGTTCTCCAGAAGCGGCTTAGTCATGCTGGCCACATGACACGGAAGCTGTACGCCGGCTCCCTCAGCCAGTAAAGCAAGATGAGTGCCACAACCCCAGAGTCGGTCATGACTGGACCTAATGGTCAGGGGTCCCTTTACCTTTAATCATGACCTGTACAGTCAAAACATGCAAAATAGTTCCTGATCTGGAACGATAATGCTAATTCAGTCCTCGCAGGTGACAAGACTGCTCAACTGTGGGGCAATGCTCAAAATGGCCCAGGAAGTGGTAATGCCTTTCTAAGTTCCCACTCTTACACAGCCCAGCAACTGAAAATATTTCTTTCTGTTGAAGGATTGAAGGCAGTAGCTCCAAGAACTTGAGAGTCATCTGATGATCAGATAGTCCACGCCCTTCGCATGGTAAATCCCAAGCAGACACCAATTTCCTCATCCAATTATGAAATTACAAGAAGTGAGATAAGCAACCAAACCAAGTCAGTTAAGCAATCAATTGTTCCTCCCCCCTTTCTTACTCTTATATTTCCCCCCCCCAGAAACAAAGGAATACATATGCTTTTTTTTTTTACCTCAAAGCAGAAGTCGTGTCCCAGTATACTGCTATGAAGTGGCTTGACGAAGACTCTCTCTTCTGCCCCAAGATCTAATGTCTCCACAGCACTGCCTGGACTCAGCAAAGATTCATGAGAACGGGACTCTTTCAGCTTTGGTAAACCACGAGACCTGTGCAAAGACCAAAAGGGGGTGGAAATAAGACACCACACAAAAAAAGAAGGCGGTTCATAAAACAAAGTTTTCTTAAAAGCGGCTTTTAAGGTGCCTCATTCCAATTGTTGGTTTTAGAAATAAGATACCCCTGACAAATGCCAGACAAGATTTGGCAGATCCAGAAACTCAGAAATATTTGGCCTGTTGGCAAAATAAAACTAGACAACACAACCATAACATGTACACACCCCACTTTCTCCAGCTACCGGCTAAGTACTTGGGATCTACAACTGGCTTTATAATGCTAACAAAAATAAATAATATATACTAGCATCTCAAACAAACAGTGCTTATTTTTACAGGACCCAGAGAATTCTGCTAGTAACAATGCTGTTCATATGATTCAGCATATCTCCCTGGGAACTGCATATATTTCAGCTATAATGTGAAAATGATACATCTTAAACTGCTCCCAATTCATTTATACATCCTATAAAGCAGGGGTGGCCAACTCCCAAGACATCTACTCACAGAGTTAAAAACTAGCAGTGATCTACCCCCTTTTGGGGGGTTCAGGTCAAAGTTGTTGAGCTTATTTTAGGAAGGAGGAAATTTTTGGGTGAGCTTTTTTTAGGGGAGCCAGTGATCTACCAGTGATCTACCACAGACATCCAGTGATCTACCGGTAGATCACAATCTACCTGTTGGACGTGCCTGCTATAAAGGAATGGAAAAAACTGCTCTGGACCCCCCCCCCCCCGCTAAGAGTACAGGGCAGTAACGTTTGGGGTTGCACACCAGCCTGGAAGAAATGAGCGAATGTTCATGACTAGCTCAACATGACTTAGCAAAATGGCAGACATTTGAACCTAGAGCTCTCTGGCCCAAGTCCAACACTATTGCCTTAACTACAGCATCATTCTGGCTCTTCCCTTTCCAAGGGCAAATTTAACACATTTTGTTTCCATCTTGGCTGTGAGTCCTGCAAGACCTGCTCCCTGGCTGAAGGCCTTTTCCACCTAGGCTGGGAGGGCAGGGCCCGGACTGACTCCAGCTACAAAAACTAAGGCTGTTGGGGATGGGGTGTTGTTTTGGTTTTTTCCGGGGGGGGGGTTGTGGCTGGTTGTTGTTGTTGTTGTTGTTTTGTATCTTTATTTTAGATTTTATCGTGTTTTATGTGGAAATTGTTCAGTTAAGTTGTGGATTATTTAATGTTTTATTTATTGTTTATAGCTACTTTTGTTATAGTGTTATTATGCATTTTTTCATGTTGTAAGCAGCCTTGAGCATGGCTTAAACCATGGAAAGGCAGCATACAAGTAAAATTAAGCATGTATGTTTTCCTGAGCTACAGAATTGTTAAACCACTGAAATATATAACCAAAGTCAAATCTAAAACCATTTCATGACAAGAGAAAACAGGCCCTCAACCTATTGGGTTATGTCTCTTTCAGTTAAAAAGCAATAGCAAGTTCATTTGGACTGAGAGCAGAAGCCAGCCTTAAGAGGTTCTCTGCAATTGCTTCTGATGGGCTGACAGCTTCCTTCATCCAGGTAAGAAATCCAGATTTTCACTACCATCCACTCTTGTCTGTTCCTTGGTTATCATGACCATAGTTTATATATATGTATACCAGCAGGGAGTGCCTGGCACTGCCCAGTAATTTTTAGAAACAAAGGAAAAAATGTGATTTTTAAATGGATAGAGTAATTTGTGATTTTGGAACTGTCACAACAAAAATCAGATGAAGTCAAGCCAAAGGAATGCTTTGGTCCACCAACTCGATTCAAAATGGTGCCCAGCATCCAAATGGTGATGAAGTCTACACCCTCCACAAACACACCTTGGGAATCCTCGTGCCAAGTTTGGCAATGATATCTCAAGAGGCAGACAAACGTATGCAAAAAACCCAACAACAATAAAAACACAGGCGATTCAGTTCACCATATTGAATCAAAATGGTGCCTGGCATCCAAAACGTTGGAGATTGTTGCCCTCGTCTCAGAAACCTTCATTCCTAGTTTGGTGACGGTATCTCAAGAGGGGTCTGAATGCACAGAGAACCAACCAACAAACCATTTCCCAAAATATGTAGGGTATGCGTATGTATTCAAATACAGTCGTACCTTGGGTTACATACGCTTCAGGTTACAGACTCTGCTAACCCAGAAATAGTACCTTGGGTTAAGAACTTTGCTTCAGGATGAGAACAGAAATTGTGCAGTGGTAGTGCGGCGGAAGCGGGAAATGCCATTAGCTAAAGTGGTATTTCAGGTTAAGAACTATTTCAGGTTAAGAACAGACCTCTGGAATGAATTAAGTTCTTAACCCGAGGTACCACTGTACAACAGAAGATAAGCAATAAAACCAATGCACAGTAAAATGCATGACAATCAGAACAGGAATCGCTCTAAAACAAACTAAAAGCAAGATGCAGCCAGCAACCTTTACTCACCTACCCATGAGTCCCATTCCCAAACCCATGTGTTCACAAATGACAGAAAGAACATATATGTAACAGCTGGGTTGGTCTCCACCCAAGCAGTGGCCTGCAGGACTCTTTCCTAATCCCTAGTACATCTGATGTAAAATATAGTCCCACTGATCTGAGCTGCGAATGCCTTAATTATATGTTGTTGTTGTTGTTTAGTCGTTTAGTCGTGTCCGACTCTTTGTGACCCCATGGACCAGAGCACGCCAGGCACTTCTGTCTTCCACTGCCTCCCGCAGTTTGGTCAAACACATGCTGGTAACTTCGAAGACACTATCCAACCATCTCATCCTCTGTTGTCCCCTTCTCCTTGTGCCCTCCATCTTTCCCAACATCAGGGTCTTTTCCAGGGAGTTTTCTCTTCTCATAAGGTGGCCAAAGTATTGGAGCCTCAGCTTCACGATCTGTCCTTCCAGTGAGCACTCAGGGCTGATTTCCTTAAGAATGGGGAGGTTTGATCTTCTTGCAGTCCATGGGACTCTCAAGAGTCTCCTCCAGCACCATAATTCAAAAGCATTAATTCTTCAGCGATCAGCCTTCTTTATGGTCCAGCTCTCACTTCCATACATCGCTACTGGGAAAACTATAGCTTTAACTATACGGCCCTTTGTTGGCAAGGTGATTTCTCTGCTTTTTAAGATGCTGTCTAGGTTTGTCATCGCTTTTCTCCCAAGAAGCAGGCGTCTTAATTTCGTGACTGCTGTCACCATCTGCAGTGATCATGGAGCCCAAGAAAGTAAAATCTCTCACTGCCTCCATTTCTTCCCCTTCTATTTGCCAGGAGCTGAGGGGACCAGCGGCCATGATCTTCGTTTTTTTTGATGTCGAGCTTCAGACCATATTTAATTATATAGAAGCTTAGTATTTCTCATTGTTAACTTCTCTCTCTGGTCAATACTTTTCATGGCTCCCCCCCCCCCCCGCATTTGGTATTAGTCATGATTAAGTGTTAAAGCAGCATTGACATTAATTATGGTTCAAGCTGAGGGTTTCCTCCTAACCAGGTTTAACTCACTGTCGTGGAGTGGTACAAATGGCTCAGTGAGCCATGAAGCAAACTAGGTGATCTTGGGGCAACTCTCTCTCACTCGGCCTCAGAGACGTCTTTACCATTGGGCGTAGTGGTGCAGCGAGCCAAGGAGTGGAGGGTGCCAGGTGGAGAGTCCGGGGAAGGGAGAGTGGGGAGGTAAGCGAGGTGGAGCTGGGACTTGGTGCCTGCGCATCTCCAGTGTCCGTCGGAGGCGGGAAGGCTCTGGATGCTTTCCCGCAGTCCAGAGCTCTCTCCACTGGCTCTGCGACACACCACCTCCTTGGCTGCGTGGTGTGTGCTTGCATCCCAAGCTCTGTGTATAATAAACATGATTCTACCACCGCTCCCCCATCCACTCTACCTCGAAAGATCCCTGCAATCGAGGCTACATGCTGCAACTGCTGCCTCCAGTGCCTCTCCCTCCTTCCCCTGCTTCTCCACCGCCTTGCACGGATCCTGCATCCTCCCGCTGCCCCCACCACCCCTGCACTCCTTCACACGAACCGCGTTTCCTTCCCCTGCCCGATCCCCTCCCAGTCACGCTCTCTCCTCCCCCCCCTTCCTCCCCAAGCAAGGACGGTGGGACTGCGCTGAGTGAGCGCGCTTCTCTGCTGCGGCGACACAGATGGCCCAGCTCGCTTTGCCTGTCCCTGCCTGGACGAGACCCCCGCCTGCCTCCCATGCTGCCCCCATTGCGCCCGGCTGCCCAGCCCCACACCATGATCCCGCTGTTGGAGCCCCCCCCTTAAAAAAGGTCGACAACTCTGGGAAATGGGGGGGGGGGACTTTGCACCACAGCACCAGATATGCTTAAGACGGCCCTGCTCAGCCTAAAGGGATGATGCAAGGTTTAGCATTTGGGGAGAGGGAAAGCGGTAATGTACATGACCCTGAACTCCTTGGGAAACGGTGGGGTACAAATGTAGTAAATAAAGAGAAATAGTGCTAGCAGTGGGAATCTGCCATCAAGGAAAGGGGAAGGGCAGCCAAGGAGGAATCTTGCAGCTCACTCTTCATTGCTAAGCCAAAGTTGACATGTTCACAGGCCCTGTGTAAAACATTTCACACACACACACACACACACACACACCCCTGCATAAAATGAAAAGCATGAAAATCTTCATTCGGACTTGATGAGTATCATAAACATTAACTATTAGAAAATAACATAAATTTGGTGCATATGAAAAAATGTATTTAATCTAATAACAGTTAAAAGCAGACAATATGCACCTACTTATTTCAGAAGCAAAACCAAATATCAACAATGTGAACTAGTTGTGACTCAGTAAGCGTAACAGAACCTAAAAAGTGTTTCAACCTTGCTCTTCCTCAATGTTCTCTGTACTATGTACATAAAACTTTTCAGCATCAAAGCAATTTTTATATATACAAATCAAAAAGCAACACCATCGACTGGGGTTTACATTTATGTAGCCTTTCAGTGCCATACATGAATGGAAGAAGGCATTGTTCAGCTAAAGTGGGCTCTC